TCTCTGGGGACGGTCCTCCAAGAAGGAACGGAGCCAGGCCAGTGCCAGGCTGCCAATTCCCAGCTCGGAGAGCCTCCCCAGGAGAATACCATGGTCAATGGTATCAAAGGCTGCTGAGATGTCGAGGAGGACCAGCAGAGACACTTTGCCCGTCAGCCTCCCTCAGTAGGTCATTGCACCAATACTGTTTCTATACCATGGCATGGCCTGAAGCCTGACTGAAATGGATCCAGGGCCTCTGTTTCGTCCAAGTGCGCCTGGAGCTGATCGGCCACCACCCTCTCAACCACTTTGCTTAAGAAAGAAACATTGGCGATGGGCCTATAGTTGCCAATTTCGTCTGCCGCCAAATTAGGTTTCTAAATAAAAAGGTTTGCACCAATACTGTTTCTATACCATGGCATGGCCTGAAGCCTGACTGAAATGGATCCAGGGCCTCTGTTTCGTCCAAGTGCGCCTGGAGCTGATCGGCCACCACCCTCTCAACCACTTTGCTTAAGAAAGAAACATTGGCGATGGGCCTATAGTTGCCAATTTCGTCTGCCGCCAAATTAGGTTTCTAAATAAAAAGGTTTTTGTGGGCCACCGAAAGGCAAATGGGGAAAGGAGCTCCACAGCCTGCCTGTGTTCCTTTCTATGTAAAGGTAAAGGTTCCTCTTGACCTTTTTTGTCCGGTCGTGTTCGACTCTAGGGGGCGGTGCTCATCCCCGTTTCCAAGCCATAGAGCCAGCGTTTTGTCTGAAGACAATCTTCCGTGGTCACATGGCCAGTGCGACTTAGACACGGAACGCTGTTACCTTCCCACCGAAGTGGTCCCTATTTATCTACTTGCATCTGCATGCTTTCGACCCGCTAGGTTGGTGGGAGCTGGGACAAGCGACGGGCGCTCACTCCGTCACGTGGATTTGATCTTCTGACTGTTTGGTCTTCTGACCCTGGAGCACTGGCTTCTGCGGTTTAGCCCGCAGCGCCACCAAAAAAAACTTTGTTATGTAGCACACTGTAAATGGGAAAGGAGCTCTTTCGGACCAGCGCTTTTCAGATCTGGTTGACTGAAGGCAATTCACAGCCAGCTGCTTTCTTATCAGTCTCCTGCAGTGAGAACTGTGGCACCCTCTGTGTGTGACTAGATGGAAGGTGAGAATCTGGTGCTTGTTTTCTTTTCCTTGCAATTTGTATGCATACATACCTCAGGAACTGAAACCTGTTATTACCAGGTTGGAGAAATTCAAAATTTGCTGCTCACAGAGTCATTACCATAGTTTGACTAGGATGTGGCTCATGTTGGTGGGTGGGGCGGGAATAAGTACACAGGAATTCTGCGTTGAGCTTTTGGAATGAATAGGAAATTCCCCTGAAAGTGGCTTTTTCTTAAATTGACAGGTATATGCCTAGATAAAAATGCTGGCTGATGCTTGAGAAAGCTGTTATAGTAGTGAATAATGTGTGAGTGCAATAAATGCCTGGTTCCTGCCTAGTGTGTTGAAACCATTAAATCTCTATTAATTCTGCAGCTTAATTGCGGTTTCCTTTGTGTGATCCCTAAACTGTGCCTTTTAAAGCTTAGAGACCAATTAGCTTATAGAAAAGCAGTAAGCTGAGGTGATAAAGGCCATTTTATTTCATGGATGAGTAACACAAATTGGAGGCTGCTGGGTGGATTTATATATAGATTTAAGCACCATCCACTATATGTACTTCTCTCATTTCGGGGTTGAGATCTATCATTAAAAACAGGTGCCAGGGTTGGCCCCATTTGGAGCAGTCTCTGGTGTGGATCCAACTGTATAATCCTACCAAATCCCATGGCTTCTGCTAGAACTGGTCCATCCTCGGTCCTTCCCAAAGGTCCATGTGTACCCAAAACCTTCCTCCTCCACCTCCTATTCTAGGAAAGCCTTTTTGGCTTCATGGAAGAATGCAATAATGGGGGAATCTTGACCCCATTGGTGTTACATGCTATGCACACAGTTGGATCTTCAACCTGTGATTTTGCTGAGAGAGCAACGTTGAAATCCCGTTAAGGTGTTTTAAATGCCAATACCTTACACAACTTGGCACGTCTTCTAAAGTGATACTGTATAACAGTGGTTCCCAACCTTTTTCGAGTTGTAACCCTCCAACCCCTGCCATATTTGCATTAAGACATTTTCAATGGAGTAAAGTCATCTCTTCGCAGAAAGCTTAGTTGTCCCCTAAAGGGCCTGTTTCTCTTACATACACATACACACTAACTTTACATCCCACTCCAAAAGGTCAAGGAAGGGCTGCAACACCCATGACACCCCCCCAAAAAAAACTTTGTGACCCACTTGGGAGTCATGACCTTCAGGCTGGGAAACACTGCTACAGAACAATCATTTGCTCCTGTGAAAAATCGATGAGTGCAGAAATATGGAGGGAAGAGTCTGGATTCAGAAGTATTTTCACTGCATAAGGTGGATTGCTGAATATCAGATAGAGCTCACACACCTCCTCACGTCAGGGCTGGGTTAAGATCCTTAGAGGCCATAAGCACTTTAAAGGGCTGATGTAGATTACTGGCCTGTTTGGGGTGTGGGGAAATGCTAGGAAAACCCTATGCAGGGCTTCTTTTGACTTTCATGCCCTCTCTTCTGCTTCTCTAATGTCAGAGCGGTGTAGGGTACACATTTTCCATGGGGATTTGGGTGAAGGTAGAGATTAGTTCTTCGCAGTGATCCAAGACCCTTCTCCCTATCCTTAGAGGGGGAGTTTCAAAAAGGATTGCAGTTGGAGGGAAAACATTAATCACACTGTGAATGAAGCAAAGAACTTAATCGATTAAAGGAGACACTAGAAGGATTGTTTTAACCTTGTTTGACTGCTTTCTGTCAGATTCAAAGCAGAGGCTTGGATTTGTTAGGTGCAGCCTCCCTGTTGATCATATATCTCTTGTATTGGAGCCACTGAATATGGTTTCAAAATCAACATATTTTGGAATGTTGACATATAAAATGCATCCAGTTGAGACTGCAGATGTTTCAGCCCTATTGCGGGGAGGAAAGGCCTTTGAAGTATGCCTATCTTTCAAATGCTACCATATCTACTCTTGTAGTCTGCAAGGGTTCTTACTGATAAAGAAAATGGGTCAAACTAATCACAGTTTCTATCAAAAGTATGCTGTGTTCTCCACAGGCTTTAAGGAGTTTTGTTTTTAGGAGATTTTTTAAATAGATGGTTATGAAGAGCTGATGGGAAGAAGGGCAGGGAATCCATGCAAAATTGAAAGTTCAAGGGAAAAGGACAGTCTGGTTTTGCCTGGCAAGTTTCTGTTTTTTTCAAAGGGCCTTCCTCCTACCCTGGGTAGGCAGCCTCTCAAAACTGGCAACCATAACTCACGTCCTTTGCTCTCCCAGTATACCTCTGGCTTTTAATAACTGAAGCAGGCCTGTTGTGAGTCCATGTGCAAGCCCATCAAATGGGGGAGGGGTGTCCTGGCACATTTGAAGGGGGCCACAGACTGGGAACAATACTTCACACACCATCTTATAAGGCTCATTATGTGACTTAAACAGCCCTGATTCAGACTATGTTTCTTTCATATTGAGTTTATGGCTGTGGCCAAAAGAGGTGGAGAATGACTGGACCAGAGTAGGACTAAGGGATGTGTGGCCCTTCATCTGGTGTTGACGTACATCTCAGCATCGGTGAAGCTGGCCAAGACTGATGGAAATTAGTCTCCCTTCTGAACAGTGACAGCTTCTTCAGCAGAGGCTAGCAAAAGGTAACCCATGGGCCCAACTCTAGTCCTGCCCCACAGCATCCACAAACTCCAACATGTTTTTAATTTTAAAATGTTTGACATTCCCCATATGCTTTCTAAGGGACATGGTGTGCGTGGAGGAAACAATTCTGCAATTCTCTGTATTCCATGGCACTTCTCCCCTATGCTATGGAAAAAGAGAGTTAGGAAAAACATTTGGGGGAATGGAAGGGCATGAGAAGCAGGTACAGCCTTCCAAGGTCCAACAACAAATACAGTTCTTTCAACAGAAAACTACTTTGGGGGTGGGTGGGAAGAGTGGGTGCAGATTTTACAATGATTGATTTTTCCTCCCATTTTTGAATAGTGGAGATCTCAGACTCTGTTCCATCATCTCCTCTGGCAAAAGAAGTCACCAAGAGATTCTCTACGCCTGATGCAAATCCTGTATCAACAGAACCTGCCTGGCTGGCTTTAGCAAAGAGGAAAGCAAAAGCATGGAGTGACTGTCCACAAATTATCAAGTAAATTATATTGGTTTTGCTCCTTATGCTTTCTCCTTTTTGTTAGTATTTTCATATGACAGAACCCACTGAATACAAGTGCATATCCTGAAGGATGAAGGACACTTTGAACTGTTCACCATTTTCTTGCTCACTGCAGATTTTTATCTACATTGCAAAATTACTACTTTGAGAACCTAGGTACTATTAGAGAGAGGTGTTGGTACAAAGCTCTAGCTTCATCTCTCTGAAAAGTACAGGGATGTTAAAATGTCTATTTGAGGTTTGGACCCTTTAAAAATCGCTGTTTCCATGTTCTGAATTTTGGCTTCAGTGGTTTGGGATTTCTAGCTGTCTTTTTTGGACATGTTATTGTGAACACTGCAGAGATTCCAGCCACTGAAATGTTTTAATTGAATGTAAAATGCATGTTCTTTCCTCTTTTAAATTAAGAATGTAATACCATTTACTGGGAAATTTAAAAACCTTACTCAGGTGCACAATTTGGAAAAACCCACTCCTGTCTTAGTAGTGATGAGAATATATAATGGTTAACTTTTATTAAGGCTGACTTTGAAATAATTTGCATTAACGTGTGACTGATGAAAGCAAGGGAATGCCCAGTCCTGCCACATAGAAGCTGCAATGCTGGAGTTTCTCCAGGTGTTTGGACTATATGCAGGCGAACTCATGTATAAATGTTTTCACAAATTCTGATATTTTTTTTGAAAAAGAAGATTTTTGTGGTAAACATTGCATTTTTTCAGTAGCTTCTATCACGAAGCATCTAAATATATCACTATATATTTAATATGCTAAAACTGGAGCAAATTAAATATGCATTTTCCAACTCCATTTCTCTGTGTAATCCCCCAAATCGTGCAAAAATGCACTATATTTTCACTAGGGTACGCAGAAGCATGTTATTTTGACACATATCATGTTCCCCTGAAAATAAGACAGGGTCTCTGATGACACATATCATGTTTCCCTGAAAATAAGACAGTGTCTTATATTAATTTTTGCTCCAAAAAACACATTAGGGCTTATTTTCAGGGGATGTTTTAAATTTTTTTCATGTACAACAATCTACATTTATTCAAATACAGTCATGTCATCTTCGTCTGGTTGCTACACAGTGGTGGAGGGCAGGGTTTCACTTAACTGGGGCTTATTTTTGGGGTAGGCCTTATGTTACGAGCATCCTGAAAAATCATACTAGGGCTTATTTTCAGGTTAGGTCATATCGGGGAAACAGGGTAGTAATATGCTACATACATACATCTGTTTCAGTAATGGAGAGCACCATGCAAAGGGAGAAAAAACAAACAGCAGCAACAGAGTATGAAAACACATGTAAAGGCAAGTCCACAAGCCCCAATCCTGCAAGGTTTATTTAACAAATGCAAATACAAAAGCCTACCTAGCTGAATAACTAGGGAAGCAAACAATTAACACAATCATCTACAGCTATTTCTGTGATTAAACAGCTGCAGATTAAGGAAGCAAACAATTAACACAATCATCTACAACATAGCCGGTTTAAGAAATAGTGGAATGGAAGGATGTCCAACCTAAAAGGAACTAGACTGCTCATAGAACATTCTTGTGGATCATAGAGTACATATTCTCAGGAAAATCATTCTGTTTTCTGTATTTATAATTAGCACTTTAGTCTTCAGCATCTGTGCCAGTATATTTGCATGTTAGGCTGGCAAAACATTACTGTGGCACTTTTGTTAATGGCATGTTTTGAAACAATGCAACTATTGTCAGGATGCTCTATACTTTGTGCTGATATAGTAAGTCTTAAATCAGACCTCATATTGTAGAACTGGTTAAGCAAACACTGCAGGGATAAGTGCAATTTTTTGCAGTTAATTCTTGCTGCCCTTTAAACCTTTATCCATAAAGCATAGAGGCAAACTATGAAGTGACAATTTTTCATGGTATTCTGAAAATTGCTTCCATTCAAGAATGATGAAATGGGTCAGTAGTGCAATGAATTCAGATTGTACCAAATGGTCTCAGATGGCCTAACTTGAACTTCATTGTAATTGTTTGTGGATTAAACTGTAAATTTGATTTTCTCGTTATTTCTCATAGCTCTAAAACCAGTTTAAAACTCAAGAATTTTTGAAGAAATAGTATTGCTTAGCTGTATGGTTGTTCAACAACACATTCTCATATTAGCACATTTGTGCTAAACTTTTATAAGTATCAAGCTATAGAACAAAAGATTGGTTGTGTTTTGTATAGAAGCACAAAAAGAAGAAATTTGAGAGTTACATAGTTGCTGCAAGGAGATTTGGTCTTCTGACTACTAGGCTCTCCGCATTATGTTTCAGCTTCATATTTAAATTCAGTCCATTAAAATGGAATAGGAAATTTGCTTTTAGGACTTTATGGGAAATGAAACAAGGAATAGCTGATGTAGTTAATACATGACCTATTTTATATATTTCTACTCAAAAAAAAGTGGTGAAATGTGTAGTATGTTTAACAATTGGGTCTCATGGAGCTTTTGATTTAAACTATGGTGGCTTACTATCCTCCACCACTGGCCTTTAGGATTTTTCAAAGTCCACTCCCATGATGGCACAACACACAGTTTTGGTCACAAACGGTAAAAACAGAATAGAAATATAGTCCTAGCTGCTCAGTTTCATGTTCATCCAGTGATTACTGACTGCACTCCATTATCCTAGAAATACATGATGATAATGCACTGAAAGCAGTAAGAGTCTCTCTTGAATGTGGCATCAGTAGCACATATAGGAGAGGATGTAAGCAAACAAGGTACAGACCTACTTTGACTGGTGCAAATATATCTTGCAGGCAGTATAAGACATGATGATAACGCACTGAAAGCAGGAGTCTCTCTTGAATGTGGCACCAGTAGCACATATACGAGAGGATGTAAGCAAACAAGGTACAGATCTACTTTGGTGCAAATATATCTTGCAGGCAGTATAAAATATGTCTTCAAATATTGTAAATGTCCACTTCTTTTAACTATACTTACACCTGCAACTGCATACATAAATTGCAACTATAACTTCCAATTTCATTTAATCAATTTCTGAGATTTTTCTGGAATAAAAAAGTAGGTGGAGTAACTGCTGAAGTGGATGAGACAAAGCATAAATACATAACTTTAGAGGGAAGTAGGTGCTATTTGCATGTTAAAAGGAAAAAGACCTATCAAAATAATTCTAGACACAATGTTAGCACAGAGCATATAGTAGTTAGTTAGTAGTTCTAAAAATTCAAAAGCAAAGTGTTTTTAAGCATGAAGGTATCTAGTATGTTGACAATTGTATTTAAAGGCTCTGATCCAGAAAAACAAGAGGAAGTTATGCATCCCCTGCTAATAAAGCAGAGTTACCCCCCTTCATCTAATCCCAGATTAGCATCAGTGTAGCCCTCATCACCAATTAAGATGCAAGGGACCAAGACTGGATTCCATTCAATGAAACCTTCCGTCCTTCACTCTACCTAACTGCACCCAAGCCGACAGCATGAGCTCCTTGCGTCTTTTTCCATGTACGGTCGTAGAGCAGGTACTGGATATGGGGCCTATGCATCACACACTTCTGTAATTTTAAGGGGAAAACCCATTTCCACTCAAGCAGCAGTGACTGGATCAGAGCAGGAATATGTACAATGCTTGTTAGAAAGCATTTCTAAAAGCCTATATTTTCAACATTATCATTTCATGTAAAGTCAACTTGAACTTTTGCACTAAATACCAACGAAGTGTTACTTTGCTTTAGCTTTGTTGCAGCCTTTCTTAATGAACAAACTGTTGAAATTCTGTGAAATACAAACCGATATGGAATAAATTCCAACACTTATAAATTGATCCAACCACTATGTAGAATACAATTTCTTTCTTTTTTTTCTTTTTTCTTTTTTTGATAACTTGTATGCAGAGGTCATGATCAAGAAGAAGTTAATCATACTCAAGTCCTGTGAAATTTTTAAGGTTCAAGTCAGTCACAACTAAATTATCCTATAGATTAATAGGTGTTGAGAATAACTAACTTCTTCTAGGCTGGAGATAAAATATTATTTGAGGTTATGGATTATTAACCTCTATTGTTCATATAGTGGTGTATAAAATTATAAACAAATGTACAATTGTGGGGTTATGTTTTGTGTACTTTTTTAATTTTTCAAATGTTTTAAAGTGCAATTGTTTCTTATACTAATGTCATTTTAATTATGATTAAATTATAATTGCTAAAAGTTATCAGAAGATGTATGTATTCATTGTCATTTTGTTTAAAAAAAGCCAGGTTTACTTTGTAAGGAGAGCCTGTTATTATTATAGGAATCTAATTATGTGTTTTTACTAATAATTAAAAAATGAGTACAATTATGATTAAAGGATATGTTAGTGCAATTTCTATTTTCAGTTTTTGACTGTCAGATTTTAATGTAAATGGTCCATCACTGAAAATTTGTTCTATTTCAATAAAAAAGCAAGTGTTTCTTTAGCTATTAATTTGTATTTACTTGATGACATTTTAAAAAATGTTCAGATTAGTGATATTAAGAGAATACACACACGTTACTAAACAATGTTATAATGTATTTTCACAACTTAAGAGCCTACATAAAAGAAGGAAAATCTTCTGAACCTTGATTCAACAATAGTAAACTATTAACAGGTACATTTTAAAACACAGGTGGATAAGATACATTTTTAAGTATTCTTATGTGCAATGTGCTATACGTCAGAGGTCCCCAACGCCCGGTCTGTGACCCAGCAGCAGTCCGCAGCCTATCCAGGACACAGATCCCCTAAATCACCCCCACAAGCGCTGTTGCACGAATGCGCCCCTGTGCGCGTACATGCAACTGGGCCCCCATGTGATGTGCACATATGCACGAGCTCCTCCCCCTGTGGACCCTCAAACCGTCCACAGTTGGGAACCACTGCTATACACGATCTTTTATATTGTAATATCATTAAGAAAACACCGAATCTTTTGCAAAGCATTGCATTATGGAAAGTGTTAATAAATATAGTTAGAAAGCTCATGTTCAACACGTTTTAAAACGTTAGCCAGTGACAACTGTGGCTATCAGAAATATATTGCACACAAGCAATCAAGAAGGCCAGAGGCTTATTTAGTATTTATCCACCCTGTTCTCTCTAGCATACTTCACTAGAACACTAACCACCTCCCTGACATACACTTTCTGCAGCTGAAAAGCAAAAATCTGGATTCCTGCTTATGTGGAGAGCCACAAGCAAAAACTATTCTTTTGCAAGACACATCAATCTCCACGAGGAGAAAGGGATGATGGGGAGGGACTAGGTGCTCCTTTTGAAGTATGCTGGAAAAAATGGGGGAATGAACAACTGAATAGTGCTTATGCGTTAAAAAATTCCCTGGTTTAATGCACACTGACTTGTTAGTTTCAACAACAAAGTTATCAATTGGTTAGTTGTGTGCAAAGTTATCAGTTTTGTTTTCTAAAGACTGGGTCAAAATGTTTGGATATGTGCTGTAAAAACAAAGCTAAAAATATTACAAATACCATTTTTAGGCAGTTTTATTGGTTTTAGATATACATATATCTAAGCAATAAACAAAATTATTTCTACAACCTACAACAATTGCTGACCCCCATACCACAGGAGACGAGAACACTTCTCCTGGAAGTTTCTCTGTGCCTTCTACAAAACCAGTTTTAGTGTTCAGGATCCATATTCTGCCATCTGTAGACACCACTGCCAAAAGTGTTTTATCTTCCGAATCATGACTGTGGAAAACAAATGGTGTTGCATACACAGCTGAAGTGGTTTCAAACTTCCACACCAGTTGGCCTTCCTTATTACAGCAGTAAACACAGCAGTCATGAGAGCCAAAGAATATCTCACTGGCACAACTGGAAACACAGGGCGATGAAAAAATTGGTCCGTTGCTGGAAAACTGCCAAACCTACATAACAATATTAAGAAATAAAATATATTATCGCAATTTCCACCTTGGGTCCTTTGGAGGAGAAAGGTGGAGTAAAAACAAACAAATTTCAGTTAGAGCTACTAAGAGTTATTTTACATGCTATGAAGAAATGATACATATGAACATCTGACTTTGTAGTTTTACAAAATACATAATGTATGACCAAACAGTTCAGTTCATTATATATCCTTGTGAGGAAAATATATCATATTTGTTATAAATGTTGTTATCTAGTCAAGTGGTCCCCAACCGTAGGCCCCCAGATATTCTTGGACTTCAACTCCCAGATATCCTGGCCAGCAGAGGTGGAGAAGGCTTCTGGGAGTTGTAGTGCAAGAACATCTGGAGGCCCAAGTTTGGGGACCATTGATCTAGAGCAGTGGTCCCCAACCTTGGGCCCCCAGATATTCTTGGACTTCAACTCCCAGAAATCCTGGCCAGCAGAAGTGGTGGTGAAGGCTTCTGGGAGTTGTAGTGCAAGAACATCTGGAGGTCCAGGGTTGGGGACCACTGATCTAGAGGGCCTAACCAAGAATGCTAACTCATTTTATGCACAATCAACTCCTTACTAGGGTTGTGATTATAAATCTCTTACTCTTACATTTTTTTCCTTTTTTAAAAGAATTGTCAGAGACTCTGAAACATTCACTTGGTGACTGTGGTTTGAAGTACAGCATATGAAAATGCAAGACTAGCACTTATTGTGAAGATCCATTTTGGTCTGATGTGAAAGACATATCAAAAAGGATGTTTTAGACCCCTGTCGGAAGGCAGAGTTCACACAAGCAAGGACAAATGGTTATGTACCTCTTCATTCAGTTTTGGCCATGTCCAAGTCAATGCTAGAATAAATATGTCATAGAAAGGCAGATAACTCAACTGTAACAGTAAAGAGGAAACAAGATCCTTGTCCTTCTGGAGGAAACAGACATGCAAGATGCAGTGAACTTGTGCAAAAAAAGCAGCTTATGTATTTTAGCAGCCTGTGAGACTCAGCATTATTAGAGGTAACGGTGTGGCATTTATGCCTCCTAAAACACTATTTGTAGTAAATATTCATCTTCCAGTCCTGCATGGTGGAGGAAGCCATTGAAAACGTAAGATGCACTAAAACTAGTTGGCCAGTTAGGGTGGGCCACTTTGTTTTGAGGTAATGCAAAAACAGATACTGTATTCAAAGCAACCGTATTGCATTTCCTAATCGTATTAAGCAAAACCTACAGATGCGCTGCAGATATTTTCTAAGAAGACATGGGAGGCAATGCATCTGGCATGGTTGCATCCCAGTGAGAAGGGCTATAAGGTGAAAATACATGCTTTTTGTCCCAGCATGGCAAAATTAAAGGTCAAAAATATAATCTCTGAATGCTGGGGGATTCTGTGTACATGGTAGGGTGTTGTTTTTTAAAAAGCATCCTATGCACCTCATGTTATTTTATCCCATCTCTAATAGTAGGCATGCTTGAGCCAGAAAGGACTGGTTCTATGTTGTTTACAGAGTTCATTTTTGGGAACACGGAAGTTATTAGGATCCCTTGAATATACTGGATAGTGAAAAAAGGGGGTGGGGGTGGGAGGGCTGTTTTTCCCTAGTCAGCATTGAAGTCTCTTTCTTGTGAAAGAATGTATACGTTCTTACTTTGATGATGGATGTGAACTTTTGCAGTACCAACCATACAGGCATGAGCATCCATTATAGGAATCTTCAAACCCTCCATATATTGTTGGGCTCAAGTAACACATATCTACCTGTTGGCTGTGGCTATATTGATTCCTGATGCTACATAATTTACCCCACAATGTCTGTCTGGAATCTAAAGATCCTTTTGAGGAGAGAACTCTTCTGACCTGAGGAACGTGATTTAGTTCTTGACCTCTCCCCTCACTTTCATTATTCAGGCAACAACACAAGTAGGGTGGAGAATCTGAAAAAGTGAGCTGCTCAGCTGTCATGACTTTTTTTTTTTACTTCATCCCCTTGCTTTTGGAAGACATGGCCAGCTTGTTCTGCCAAAAGGGCTTACTTAATTTTTTAATTGGCAAGTTAGGTTGAATTTACAGCAGCAGAACCTCAGAACCAAGCTCCTCCAGTCTTGAAGAGCAGAGGGACTCTAAAAAGAGTTGCAATTCCCTCTGGCGACCAGCTGTAGTAATTGCACCTGAAGCAAACAACAACAACAACAACAACAAAAGGGGGGGGGAAGAGGCTGTGTGCGTGATATATGATTTCAAGTTGAGACTTACCTCTAGTGACCCTAATAGGGCTTTCAAGTGAAATCCTTGTACACAACAACAACAACAAAAGTGTGGATGACACCTTTGTTAGGCTACTAATACACTGCAAGGAGAAGGTCAGTTCTGACTCAGTAAGACCCTTCATCAGGCTGGGAATTACAGAGTTAAGGGTGGTGAAGAAGAAACAAAAGTTCTGAAACCCATGGCCAAATCTGAAACAAAGGTTCCACTACAAAATTGCTCTCTGCCCGGAAGAGCAGAGGGACTCTAAAAAGAGCTGCAATTCCCTCTGGCAACCAGCTGTAGTAATTGCACCTGGCTTGGCTTTGGTGCCTGAAGCAAACAACAACAACAACAAAAAAGGGGGGGGGCTGTGTACGTGATGTATGATTTCAAGTTGAGACTTACCTCTAGTGACCCTAATAGGGCTTTCAAGTACACAACAACAACAACAAAAGTGTGGATTACACCTTTGTTAGGCTACTAATACACGGCAAGGAGAAGGTCAGTTCTGACTCAGTAAGAGCCTTCATCAGGCTGGGAATTACAGAGTTAAGGGTGGTGAAGAAGAAACAAAAGTTCTGAAACCCATGGCCAAATCTGAAACAAAGGTTCCACTACAAAATTGCTCTCTGCCCATAATGGTATCTTTATTTTTTTCATGTCAGAAGCACCACAGTGCAATACATATATGAGATCATTTATTCCCCCCCCCCATCATGGGCAACATCAAGAGCATTTGGGGCACTTAACACCAACTGCTCCATAGTACATGTTGAGGGGCACAGAGTACACTAATGCATGTGTGGTGTTGTCTGTTCCTGTCCATTGAAAGAACTGTGTGAATGCAAAAACCTCATTTTCTTAGGTTCGCTTTGGTTCTGCCAACTTATATCCATACTCTGTTAATGATTTCCTCGTGTGTGACCAGGAGCTGGATTTTTCTGGGATTCCATCCATTTTAAGAGATCAGTAGTTCTTTCTTTCAACATTATTAATATTGGCACTCCCTGTTATTTATTCAGAGTTCACTGATGCTGGTTTTGAGCTTTTCAGTATTACTTGCTATAGTTCCCCATGTCACTGGGTGCAGTGTCTGTTAGAAAATTGATTATAATATCAGAAGTTGGCTAAAGACATCTAATAATAATTCTACAGCTTTCCCTGAGTGCTATGTCTACTTGTTTTGCATGAGCTGAACTATACTACACTGAGCTGGTGCATTAGCTTGCAGAGTAGCATAGGGCAAAACTTTCGTTCTTAGCAGTTTGGATTGTGTGCTTCAACTGCTTACTAATAGCGTTCAAAGAATATTGCTCCTTGTAGAGACCTTTTGATTTGTATTTTGGGAGTGTTTCTTATACATCAGCAAATATTACTTAATTTTTTTAAAGCTGCCTGGCATAACCATTGTCAGTATCTATCCAAAGTCTGGTAAGACTATTTCCCTCTTGCTAACCTAATGCTATCTCCCACTTCCGTAAAGATGCAATTAATAAAAAAGAATATTGCCATCTTGGTTTCCGATGGAAGTGAACAAGGGGGAATGGCAATTTGGATTTCCAAATCTCAGTTCAGCTTCCAGAGCAAATTATGTCCAAATTGGTCCAGATCCAACTGAGGCCTAATCTGAGTTACAGAATCCAGCCCAAGCCCAATGTGGACCCCATGCAAATCATTTTATGGTCTATATTTGACATGAAAGCTTCGTATTTGTACAAAGCCTGTCTGAACAGGTGTCCTGGTGGTCCTTCCCCGCCCCCCAGAACCAGCCCAGTCCACTTATCAGGCTCCCTGGGGTGCACACGCACTGGTGGCGGCAACACTGTACCAATCACGGGCATAGTCCTGCTGGCACTTCCTTGCCTCTCCCCTTAGCAGACCGTTCAGCAGTTGAGCAAAGAGACTTGTATTCCTGCTTCATCGCTGGAGTAGTTGGCTTTGGGAAGAGGCAGGGAAGCACCAGTGAGACTCCGCCCATGATTGGCACAATGTCACTGCTTCCAGGTTCATGTGTGCCAAGGAGCTTGGTAAGTGGACCTGGTTCTGGGGGGCAGGGAAGGGCTCCTCTGCTGACGGGCTTCATGTTCATCTCCCCTGGGAGATGAATACGAAGCTCCCATGTCTAATCTATCATTCTGCATTTCATCATTTACCTCTACTATGTAAGCTGCCCTGAGATACAGCCATTGGGAAGTCCAGAAATTAAATGAAGACATTTTTTTTTTACAAATATTAGTAGTAAGCCAGATTTTTACCTTTTCTCCAGAGTGATTAAAGCAATATAAATTTCCATCCACACATCCAACAAACACATAGTTCTTGTCACAATGTGGAGATGAGAAGATAGGTTTTCCACAAAAATGCTTCCAAATTCTGTTCCCCGTAACCTGCAAAGGTATATACAGTATAGCATATATGATAATAATAATTCCAATAAAGAAAATGCAGAATCCAATCACAGCCCTGGAAATACTATTGGGAAAAACCAAACCAAGCAAGGCAGAATTGTAAATAACTGTACATCCAATAAAACTACTTCAGTAATGTTGCTTATCATCATGTTTCCTGGAAATATGGACAAGACAGATGAAGTAGACCCAAAAAATAGCAGAGACTCTACATTCTTATTTAACTCTACTACATATGTGAGTCATGAAATGAAATACCTTTCACTAAAGCAGGGTAGGCAATGTAGTCCACAGGCAGCATAGGAACCTCTGACAGGATTTTGTACCTGAACAAGGTGCTCTGGAAGCATTACCTTGTTGTAGGTGAGAACTGAGCTTTCAGAGGCTGCTGAGAGTGAGATTCCAACCTAAAACAAGATGCTTGCTCCCTAAGCATTTGGTTTTAGTGCAAAATGCCCTTTTGGATAATTGGAAGTGGGTTTTTCCTGTTTCTGGTTGCTGCCAAGCTGCTTTCTTGCAGTGATGTGTCACACATGAAAGATATGAGAGTATGAAATTGACCCCTGGACTTACTAACACTGCCTACACCCACGGCTGAGTAACATACAAAAGGTGTGCCTTCCTTCAGTCATCTTCCTGAAATATTAGTCAGTTCTTTATAAGCAAAAAACAAAATAAAACAAGAACAAAAACCTTACTGGATTTGCTGCAAGGTAGGTCTTCTGCATCAAAGAAGGGAGTGTAACTTGTAGTTACAACATTCAGATCTATTGACAGAGGCTGGAAAAGCGTGAAAATGGCAATGGCCACAGGCTGTTGAATTTCATAATCCAAAAGGGTAACTTTCTCAACTTTCTGAACACCCTCACTTCTCATTCTGCATGCACACACAGTGAGAATGCTTAAAGAAGGCTAGGGGGTCAAAACAAAATACTGTATGCTATTATAACCTAGGCAAATGCATTATAGGCAATGCAGAGGAAAAGTTTGCATTATTTCTCCATCTTATAATTTGGAATAAAGGTTTCCATTGTCTAGACCTCATATTGATTAAGATAGGACTGACCCACCAATGGTTAAACAAGTCAATGTTAAACAGAAACTGTTCTCTTGAGATATGAGGTGGTACAAAAATCAGCTTCTGTGTATCTTACAAGAATGCTTTAATATGTGCAGCAATGTAACAGTTGAAAAGGTGATGAACTAAGTTGAAGGAATAAAACCACTTCTATATTCTGATCATCTACAGTCATGTGAAAAAGAAAGTACACCCTTTTTGAATGCTATGGTTTTACATATCAGGATAGAATAAAAATCATCTGGTCCTTAGCAGGTCTGAAGATTAGGTAAATACATCCTCAGATGAACAACATTATATGATATGCCGTGTTTCGCTTTCACCAAATGTGGCACTGTGCATTATGGCCAGACATCTCCACTTTGGTCTCATCTGTCCGAAGGACATTGTTCCAGAAGTCTTGTGGTTTGTCCAGATGCAACTCTGCAAACCTAAGCTACGCTTGCCATGTTCCTTTTAGAGAGAAAAGGCTTTCTCCTGGCAACCCTTAAAACAAACCATACTCATTCAGTTTTTTTCTAATTGTACTGTCAGGAATTTTAATATTTCACTTGCTAACTGAGGCCTGTAAGTCTGAGATGCAACTCTTGGGTTTTCTTGCAATTTCTCTGAGCACTGAACGGTCTGACCTTGGGGTGAATTTGCTTGGACGTCCACTCCTGGGAAGATTGGCAGCTGTCTTGAATGTTCCAATTGTGAATAATATTCCTCAATGTAGAATGATGGAGTTTAGTTTGGAAATGACCTTTCGAGTCTCTCCAGATTGATGTGCAGCAAAACTGCTTCTCTACAATCACTGCTGATATGTTTCCTCCTTAATATTGTATTAACACACACATGAACGCTCCAGACCACCAAACTGCTAAAACATTGGCTTTTACAGAGGTGGCTTACTCAAGCACATTTGATTCGCAGCACTTGACTGTTTTAGCATCTTAATTCCTATGGAAGCAATAAGGATGTACTTAGTTTTTTGCATATGGCTTCTGTATTTTGGCTTTATTTTTGTTGAATAAATCATGATCCGGTGTAATATGTCACAGGTTGTTGTTCATCTGAGGTTGTATTTATCTAATTTTCAGATCTGTTAAGGACCAAATGATTTTTATTCTGCCTTGATATGTAAAACCATAGAATTCAAAGAGGGTGCACTTTCTTTTTCACACGACTATACATTCTGTTTGAGAGAGTTCCTGAAGATAGTTTCTTATAAAGCATGAAGAGTTTTCTATCAACAAGGGAAGGCAATCTAGTGCTCTCCAGATAGATTATAGCTCCTATAAACCCCACCTAGCATGGTCGACAGTCAGCAACAAGGTTCCTTCTAAGCTGCATGTGGAGAACTCTGCCCTCCTCCATGTAGTGCTCTTCCTCCTCCATGCACTGACAGGAATCGTTTTCAACCCCTTTGGTTCTGGTCATAACGGAATCCCACTTGATTATAGGGTGACTGGAGCAATGTAAATTTCTGGACCAAACGTATCAAGCAAAGTACGTACAGGATTTATAGCTAGCAACAGTCCTCCAAGCGTACCAATATATAACTGATATGGTAATAGACTTAGATGAGGAGAAGAAAACACAGCTCCAGCTTCACTGTGCAACTTCCAAACACACTCTTCTTTCTGCGATCATAACAAAAAACAAATGCAAGATAATGCCACTGCTTAATTAAAAGCTAAAATTCAAAAACTAGCAAATCACTATATATGAAACAGTATTTTCCTTCAATGTTTGCACTCAGTGGCTGAAATCATGTTGCACAGCTATATCTGCATAACTAGATGTTGCACAAACTGTTCTGAAATCTGCACCATGGCAGAATTCTTATCCAGGAAGCAGCTCTGTGGACAATTGTGTGGTCAAATGCTCAATTAGACATGCAGACTGCCTTAGCAAAACTCCCTACAAAGTTCCACAGGCATAACTTTATGTCAAGTGGAAGACGATTTCAGCCAATTGAGTACAAAACATTTTACATCAACCATTTTACATCATATTCAGAATGACAGAAATTCAAAATCACTTCAAAACTAATCAATGCTATACACATTCAGCAAGAGGTATACAAAAACAAACAGTAACTGTTCAGATAAAAAGCAGTACTGTTGTGTTTCATGCTGTACATTATCTGCTCAGTGGCAGCAGTGGTGGAAATAGTGTGACAAGATCTTTAATCAGCAATCCTATATAATTTGCTTGGAGTTACATTTTATAAGGCCAACAGGATTTATGTATTTCTGCCTGGAGTCATTTGGGTTTTAGTGGACACACCAAGGCTTGTGCTGTGTTGGCCACACCATATAATCTGACCATCTTTCAAAGTACAGTGGTGCCCCGCTTGAAGACGCCCCCGCTTGATGATGAAATCGCTGAACGATGACTTTTTTGCGATCGCTATTGCGATCGCAAAATGATGGTTCCTATGGGGGAAATCCCCTTTACGTTGATTAGGTGCCTGCTTCGTGAACCATTTGTTCGCAAAACTATGTTTTTTCTGGCTCCGCAAAATGGCTTCCCTTCACAAAATGGCTTCCCTCCCTTCGCAAAATGGCTGTTTTCCGGGCCCCTGCTTCGGAAGACAGCGATCTTAAACAGCTGATCGGCAGTTCTCTATGGGCAATCTTCGCTGGATGATGAAGTATTTCCACACTGGAATGCATTAACCAGTTTTCAATGCATTCCAATGGGGTTTTTCCCCCCGTGACGACAATTTCACTTAACAGCGATTTTCCTGGAACAGATTGTCGTCATCAAGCGGGGCACCACTGTAAGTCTCATTCACCTGGATCTTAAAATGCTCAGGAAAGCTGGTGATTTGTGACTGTCAGTTTGTTAATCCAATTTGAGCTGGATTATACCCAGTTAAAACTGCAATTTTAAATTACCTTACTTCACAGTGAATTCAACAGGATGTACAACGCATGAAACTGAAATTAGATTGAGAAAGCATTTCATTTTGTTTTTATACTTACATAAATATCTAAAGCATATACATGCTGGTCATGAGACCCAATGAAGACTAGTCCTGTGGAATGATCTACAGCTGGAGAACTTTTCACAGCATCCTCAGTTTTAAATGTCCAGTGCACTTCCCCATCACTGCTTCTGAGTACATATATGAATCCATGGTAGCATCCTGCATAAAATCACAGCAATAGAAAGCAGAAATATTTAGATAAAGTTTGCAGCTATTTCCAAACAAAACTGAAAACCAAAAAACCATCAAACATTTAACTATCAAAATCTCTGACACTCCTCTCATGCATCTAAATATCTGAAGCCAATTCACAATTGTTAACCTGTTGCCACCAATTCTCTCATATTCACCACACACTCCTCTACATGATAGATCCCACCACAGTGACCAGGATCCAATTAGAACCATGCCATGTAAACCAGAGTGGGCAAGCAATGTGCAAATGATCTTCTCAGCTGTCTGTTGCACACCCAGACATGCCTGCACATGTCACTGGCAAAATGTGAAAACTGCTTGTGTGATTGCCTTTTTGCATGCAGAATTTTGCAGCAGGATTTTGCCCCACATGGTTCCAGACAAAAGAAAAGAAGCTAGATCTGTTTGTTAGTGAACTATGGTTGAGTCTACAAAATCACGGGCGTACTGAAATATCAGAAAAGAAAATGAGGAATACTTGCATACCAACAATGATGAAGTTGCCACATTTAGATATGCAGGCAGAGGACTCAATACGATCTCTGAGGGTTCTCATCCACTTAACTTTTCCCGAGTATAAATCAATTGCTTGAATTATGTGAGAATGGGACCCAATATAAACAAAAGCAGATAACTTGTCAGCAGTTGATATTACAACTAGCGGAGACGCATCTACACACTTGCCAAGATCTGATCTCCATCTTATGTTCAATGTCCACTTCTCTGCTGTTCTTCCCAAATTCTCTTGCACAGGTGGTGTCCCAAAAGAATCAAGTTCTGTTACATATGCACTGCTGGTAGCTGTTACATCATGCATGCTCTTCAAAATGGCACTGTCCTCTCCTTGTTCTGGATTACTCTGATTCTTCAGAAGTGCATCAACAGAAAACAACCGGTTTCCTCGATTTACTGCCATAAATCCAACTGGGTCTGGCTTAGCACTCAATGACCTTTCAGATTTTGGCTCCACACATTTTGCGCTGCAGTCCTCTGTGCTACTTTCACTCAGTTTTCTCTTTACAGCACCATGACAGCTTAATTGTAGGCCCTTGCTTGGGAACACTGTTTTTAGGACATGCTGGTACACCTCTTCAAAGGAGCGACTCAGAATCACTTCCAGGAGGCTGGGGACTGCTCTGCCTACCATATATTCAATCTCTTCTTGGAACTGTAATGATTTTAAGGAATCCCCACCACTGTGTAAAAACAATGAATCTTTCAAAATGCTGCTAGAATCATCTGGAAGATTCAGAAGAGACTAAGGGGAGAAAAAGAAACAGAAATGGCAAAACATATAATGTGCACATTTAAGCATGCTACAACTCTTCATCCAATAGTGAAAATAATTACATACTCTAGAAGCAGAAAAAGACCAGGACAACCTATAGATTCACTCTTAGTCTAGAACTAAATTGAGGCTCACAAAAGCTTAGTGAAGATCTGATTTTTAAATACTTTTTAATATGGGAAATTAATCAAGTATTCTAGAGGGTTGTTCAAGTCCTATTTTTAGGGTCAAACAGCATGATGGGGATAAGGCCTACAGACTAGACTGGACTATATATCTTTGGACCTATGAAACAAGCATCTAACAAATGGAATGGAGAAAATATTTGGTTTGTTTCAGAACAACACAATTGATTGTTTCCTATTGGTAAAAAGGATAGTGAATAGTGGAAAATCTCAGCCTGGATTTCTGGATTATAAGAAGAATGTCAGATAATGTGGCCACTGTAGTGACTAGGCCTTGGCCAAGCTGAAAGACAATGGAGCAAACTGAACAAGCTACAGAGCTGGATACTTTTGTACCACTTCATGCTCAGAGGGTACCTTAGCAAGAGGCTGCAATCACATCATTTCCTTTAAGGCAAAGGGATGCTTTATTTTCTGGGGATTAAAGAAGTTGGTGCAGTGCACTGTCTCTTCTGATTGCCCTCTAGCAACGCTGAACAGAATTTAAGGGGTGAAGGAAAAGAAGGGAAAAGAACACTAGAAAATTAGGAGCATCAGCGGAACAAAACAATTACACCTCAGCAGAGGGGCATGCATGTTTTTCATCTCACCTTTCCCAGGCAGATTAAAACTTTTACAAATTTGGACTGTTTAGAGACCTTTAGTTCTTAATACAAATGCAGGAGCAGATGGTACCTTTAACTGACCATTAAGAATATAAAATAAAACAAAAACAAATAAAAAACAAGTAGTGAACTGCCCACAAGAACTTGATGCATAACCTTGAAGATGATCTGTCACCAAAAGCTCACCATTTGTTTTTTTTGTTTGTTTTAATTCTTAATGGTCGATTAATGGTATCACCTGTTCCTGCATTTGTATTGTTTCTACAACCCTGCGGCCTTTTCCTGATTTTGGGTCTTTGTTTACCTTTCTGCCTCAACTCCAAGAGTCACCTTTTCTTCAATGATTTGAGTTACTTGTTTTGGAAGACCCTACATCTCCTTATCTTTTATGATTTTTAGGAAAAGCTAAGTCTTCCCATGGATAAATTTTTCATCCCACAGGTGGCTCTGAATAAATGTTCATATCCTCACTTTGTCCTCCATCTGCCCCCATGCACCACTAAGACTCAGACTTCACAACTTTATTTTACATACTATTTTTCAATCTGAATTTTTCTGGACCAATTTCCCCCAATGTTCCTGTAAGCCTTCAGGAACGCGCTTCCTAGACTAAGTAGCTATCACTGTTTCTTTTTCTGCCTTTAGACAAAAGAGGGCTACATGGCTTTAGGTCATCTCAGGTATCACCTTCCAGCCCAGTGGCCCTCATTTTCAAGGAAAGCAGGGAAGTCAATTGTCATGCCCCTTCTTATTTTTTTTATTTTGTATTTTACAAAATAAAGAAAGAATATCTTTCTTAGTGCACACTGCTTTTTCTTGTGTTCCTGCCTTCACAGAGCTACGCATACCATTGGGTATATGCTGGAAAGGACAATTTAATCAACATACATGTATCTTTTATGCCTAATAATAAAAAAAGGCTGGATACAGACTTTTATGAAGGATTATTTTGAAATACAGTCTGCAAATGCCTGCACTAAAGAAGACGCAATTAACTGAATAATAAAATCAGGAGAAAACAACAACGTCAACATCTTGTTTGCAAATTCCAGGTCCTAAAAACAAGGGCTCAAGTATTTATTTACATGAGTAATTGGCTGGATCATTTAGTAAGTTAAGATATCTGTCTGTGGAGCTAGAGGCAAGGGAGTTTTACTTCCAGTGTGTGTCCCAGGGAAAGAGCCACTCTGTGTAGTCTTGGTCAAAGTGTACATTCCCCAGCGTACCCCCAGAAGAAGGAAATGATATATCACTTCTGTATAACCTCTACCTGGAAAAACCCGAAAAAAGTACCATAATCAACTTGATGGCACATGATGATGATGATGATGATGATGTAATATTACATGTAATGTGAATGCAAATATTAAAAACCCCACTGGATGGTAAAAAAACAACAACAAACCAGCCATTAAATATAATGAGATTACACAAAAAAGATAATAAAAAGGAGACAGAAGCAGCAGAGAAAACTAACAGAAACATTTTTATCCAGCAGATACCTACAATGAATAGAAAGATTCTATAGAACCACATTTCTTAAATTAAACCTCAGTGTTCCAATTACTCTCAGAGAGGCAAAGTGCTGACAGTGCATACAGCCTAGTGGTAATTCATCACCTTTGCTGTAAATGTGACTCCATGAAGTTTATAGATTTGGGAGGAAATGATTTCAATATTGGTACAGCAGAGAAACTTAACTTGAGATATGAAGTGAATTGCAGTTCTTAGTACAAAATGTAAATGATACGAAAATATTAAGGAAGTATTCTCCTTATTCAACATGATTTAAAATTACTGGTGCTTATTAGAATTCAGCTGCTATGATACAGATATAGCATTAAACAGTACCTTCCATAAATACTGCAATCCCTCCCACAATTCTTTTCTGCTCAGCTTCCTCTTATTTCTTCTGGAGCTCAGATGATCACTGTAAACCTTGTTCAGCTCAGACACATCAATTTTGCCTTTGTACAAAAAGGGAAATCAAAACAAGTGACATTTTTGTGAAAGTTAAGCATGTCAACTATAGTTGCTAGGGCACAGATACCTATTTCATGATAATACGTGGCCCACAGAACCCTTGCATATGTTTCAAACTTACTAAAATACAGTTATCTAATTTCAGAGATCATAATGTATATATGGATGAGTTAAGATGAACTAATGATGTAGAGGAAGGTTGGACAGAAGAAGGGAATGGTAAACCACTGCTGAGTACTCTACCTAGAAAACTACTGACTTGGTGGCACACATTACATTAATTTTAATGGTTGTTACAGTGTGTTTTTGTTTACAGAAAAATGTGCTTAAATAAAAATAATTTTTTGAAATGTAAAAAAGAAAAGAGAGGGTTGGTGGTGCTATAGGGTCCTGAAAACATGACAATAATGACCTACTTGCCTCCTAGAGCACATGTGGACTTTGAAGAAGGGGAGTGAACTCTCAACATCCCTTCTAAACATGTTTGGGTTACATGTTGAGGGTACTGGGGTGCCAGAAAAATACCATGAAGGGATCACCTACAGCCCAAAGGCTGGAGGCATTCAAGAGAAAATTGGACAACTGTCATATCTACTTCGATTTGCCTTCCTGCACTTAGCAGAGGTTGCACTCAATGGCCTTATGATCCCCTTCCAACTTCATTATTCTATGATTCTATAACAAAAGCTGAAAACTTAGATGAGGTAAGTGTGCAAAATAAGAGAACACAGATAGCCATGATAATCCAGACTGCCAAGGCTTTCTCCCTGAGGCTTTCCATATCCTGCATGTCAAACAGAGTGAGATTCGTTTGTTCCAGGACACAAATGGGGGGGGGGTGCAGTGGCAATCCCACAATGCATTTACAAGTTCCAAAACACACCAAAAGAAACTCCTGAATTTTAGATTTGTTTTTGTTGAGATTTATTATAGAAATCACTACATTTTCCTTCTACTCATTGGTCGAACACAACTTACTCTTTGGAAAATTGTGCTGTATTTGCAAAATAAACTACTCACGGTGGCATCTCTGTATAATTAAGAGATGTCATATTCTTGCTTTTTCTTAATGTTTTCAACATAGTAACCTAAATAATTGTACTGGATCTGTATCACATTTATTCTGTGTGTTTTGGGCTGCATCAGCTTTTAAATATATTTATAAGCCAACTAGGACTCATAAGGAAAAAAACCAGAAGATATGAGAGAGAGAGAGGGAGAGAGATTGCTTTTAAACAATGTATCTCAATTTGGCTACATTTTAAAATTGAGTTTTTAGAATTTTAAAAAAATGGTCAACTGGTTAAAAAAACTGGTTTAATAAACACATTTCTCTTACCATGTGATGTAAATGGCAAAATCTCAATCAGCAAAAGCTCATCTGGAACTGCATGACCAGGAAGACATTTCTGGAGATTATTTAAAAAGTGTCTTCGTTCCAAAATGCCTTTTGGCACAACAAACAAAATTAGTTTTTTCTCCTGATACCATATCACAGCACAGCTTTCAACTTCACTGTGATCTTCTACAATCTGCAAAATAAAGTCACTGGTCTTACTTTGACAAGATTTATAGAATGTGAGAAGCCACATATGAGAGGAAAATAACACATCACATCTGCATTTCTACAATTTGGCTTCATTCTATAATTCAGCTAAAATTTAGTGACTGTAAAATTTTTGCAAATAACATGCAAAGTATATAATCCCACCAACCAGGCAGACACCACTGAATAACAAAACAAGACAATAAGGACGGCAAAAGTAGTTTTTAAGTAGACTTCTAACTTCCACTTATGCTGTCTTCACACATTACCACTCATCAGGTGTGTATGGAAAAGTTATATACCATAATAATCTTGATACCCTTTGGTCAGGGCTGTAAATGCCTTATCCATATGGGTACCCTTTTGCCTTGTTTGGGGAAAATTTCTTCCACATGTAACTGAAACAATAAATCACCAGATAAAAGTGGACATGATGTAGCATGTTGAACGCTGTCCAGTTCCTCCCATTAGTTTATTTTGCCAGTTCTGCCTGCCTCCCAATCTACATATTATTTCATAACGTGAACTTTATTCAAGCACTATAAAATGCAGCCTTCTGAGTACCTTTAAAGGTGAGCACTTAGCACTGTTCCTCTGTTGGTGTCTTCAACATATGAGAAACAGTGAGTCTAAAGAGAAGAGGTCCCTGCTTGCGGGTCAGTGCTCCATGTGAGCAGAACCTTGGAAAATGTGTAGCGCATACATGAGCAGGAACCTCTCCAAATCACACACAGCACTGAGAGCATGAAGAAACCAATGGCAAAGGCATTCCCCACTAAGCATGTGCAGAATGCAGGATTTTAGAATGCCTGAATATGGCATTCTGTTTTGGATTCTGGGATTGAGTCTAATCATTCTTCAGATTCTTCTTTGTAAAAGTATGCATAGAAAATGGGACAGAATACGTTACTGTCAACTGATGAGTTTCTTTTATTTCCCTATCACTGTCAAAGATAGATTCAAAAAGCCAAACTCTATCCACCATTCCAAACTACCCAAGGACTCCCTGATACATATTGTTATGTATATTACCTGCTGTACTTGCTGAATATCAAGACGCTTGCCATGACGTTTTATTTGATTGTCCTTTCGTCCCAAGAAAAACATCTCGGTATCTTTTACTCTTACAAAGTCTCCAGTTGCTCTCATTGTTCCCATAGGCAGTGTTACTTCATCATCAAGAAAACAGACACGCTCTTTACCTCCTGCATAAAATAAGAGGAAGAAATATGTCAGTGCCTAAGAGCAAACATCAGGAGAGAGAAAGATGGCTGTACAGCAGGAAACAGAAATCAACTAATAAGGTGGTTAAAGGCCTGCCCTTCTGTGTAGCATTCTAAGGAGACTGGAGAGGATTCTTGGATAAGCAGTGGAAAAGTTTACTTCCACAAGCCCTGACAGACATGCCTAAATCTGGATTCAACCAAACAAATACTCAAAGGCTGAAATATTTGGAGTGGATTTTCAACTAAAAATGTTGATATAATGCCTGTATTCAAACACCATTCTGAGCCATAGCTTGGTGCAACATAAACAAGCTTTTTCCCATGGTTTTACGTTCCAACCTGGCTGTCTGAAAGCACCCACTTTCAGTAACATGGAGCTTTGTGTAAGAGGTTGAAGTATGCTTGTTTGATAGGTGGGAATAGCACAGCAACAAAGGTTCGCCCCTTTGATACATAGAACAGTACTTTTACATACTGTCTGAATGTGGCCGTCATGATTATATGACCAACCCAATTCCAGTGAGAAAAATCTGGAGTGGCCCTTAACATGTTACCCGGCTACATCTAACATGATGCCTCACCTACTGCCCATGTTAGCTAGAGTTGATGGGAATTGGAGTCCATTGTTTTTTGAACATTTTCTGTATCCCTGCTTCATAATACAGTGGTGCCTTGCACAACGAGTTTTTTTACATTTTCTGTATCCCTGCTTCATAATATTGTGAAGGCATAGCTTTAGACATATGTCATCCTAAAACCTAGTCTGGGAGCTGCAACAGCTTGACTGTTTATTTGCAGCACTACATACAAGTTTGGAAAGATGACAAAAATACAATATTTATTTCCAATCTAAAAATGAATAGTATGCATATTGTATGTTTCCTAGTATTTTTAGGTTTTTAGATTTTATTGCATTTGTACTCTTTTGAAAGATGAAAAGAACCAAGATGTGAACCCATGTCTCAGCACCCAGAATTACATCAGCCAAATAACTGGCATCCTTTTTAAAGCAAGATGGGCAAGCAATGGTCTAAGCCAGTGGTTCTTAACCTTGGGTTACTCAGGTGTTTTTGGACTGCAACTCCCAGAAGTCTTCACCACCAGCTGTGCTGGCTGGGGTTTCTGGGAGTTGCAGTTCAAAAGCACCTGAGTAACCCAAGGTTAAGAACCACTGGTCTAAGCTACTGGTTCATCTGAACAATTTGCAGTAGTTCTGCAAGACTGTATGACTGCCAAGTGTTTGGCAGCAGCCACAAAATGAGTCCTTCTCCCTTGACACCTGTGCCCAACTATACTGCTGGAACAAAAAAAGCTTGGAATAACAGAGGATGGTTTTGTCTGTGGAATGGCTCTGGCACTGCTAGTTTCAGTACCTAAAGCAAAGCCCCTGGGTTCAGAAGTCCTCTAGTGAAAGCAAATCTGGAATCTTTTGCTCCTAACTCTAGTTGGTGATTCTCAAAAGTTCTCGTATATAAAAAGAGCCAGAGCCTGAAAGCATTACATTAGCTCATGTGTGTGTGTGTGTGTGTGTGTGTGTGTGTGTGTGTGTGTGTGTGTTTGTTTGTTTGTTTGTTTGTTTGTTTGTTTTGAGAGAGAGGGAAAGGCAGCATTCTGGTCTCAAAGATTGTATACTTAATATTGTAATTTGAACTAAATCAAACAATAACCTCTACCTTAATAATGAGTGTTATATATAAAAAATACCTTTTGCAATATTATTTGAAACTTGTCTGATGCTGTTGTTTTAAGCCACTTTAAAAGAAAACAAACAAACAAGAAAAAGAAACATTTCACCCACCCATACCAAGAATAATAGATATGCAGGTATTTGAAACAAATAAACAAACAAACAAACAAGAAACATTTCACCCACCCATCCCAAGAATAATAGATATGCAGGTATTTGAAAGCTAGCTGAAAACATGCCAGTTCAGGAAAACCATAATTTTAAAACAAATCAGTAGTGAAACCACGCCATAGCACAAGTACCTATTACCATCCTTCTTCAATGCAATGCTCTTCATTCAGCTTGCACCCTGTCTGAGGAAGATGGGAGCTGTAGTTTAACACACCAGAGGATGAAATATTCAGGTTCCCAATAAATCTAGTTTTAGGATTATCCTACTAAACCTAAAAATAATTAAGGACAGTAAGAAAACCCTGCTGGATCAGGGAAAAAAAGATGCATTTGTCCAGCTTCTTGCTTCCAGCATAGCTAACCAAAACTGTGCAAGATGTCCACAAGGCGGACACGATGGCATCTGCTTGTCCACTAACTTTCTCCCAGCACACTGTCACTGAAGCTGGATGTTCCATTTAGCTAAAACAAAGGGCAACTGGAAAAGCTGGAAAAACTAGTTTTTCAGGCCTGCAAGTTCCCCTAAATTCTGTCAACTGCTGATAAACACATTCAATATGCATTTGGAAATCCATCTAAGAGAACTCTTATATTAAAATATTAAATGGAAAAATCACCTATAAACACCTGGCCTTCCCCTTCCAAAATGGCAGAACCATTTGCATCTTTGACTTCAACAGTTGTTCCCAATAGTGGAGTTCCCAGTGGCACCATCAAATCAAATCTAAAATAAGGTAGAGAAAAAAATGGAGTGGCAAGTGAGCTACGAGACCAGAGAAAGGGATAAAAGTGATCTTTTAAAATATGATTTGGACAATCAGAAAAAAAAATGAAACAACAAAGTCATACAGATACATCCGCTTCACATGCACCACAAGCTCACTTAAGAATACAATATGGGTCCAGTTGGCTTAGCAATGAAAAAGATCTGGGGTTTTTAGTAGACCACAAGCCAAATGTGAGTCCACAGTGAGACGCAGCAGTAAAAAAAAGCAAATGCAATACTAGACTACATTTTTAAAATAGAGGCTAGACAAACTCTTCTCACAGATGCTTTAGCTGTGGTTTTTCTACTCTGGCAGGGAGTTGAAAACACTGGCCCTTTGGTTGTACAGTTCTGATTCTATGAATACAACACATACCACATTCAAAACATGACTTCTTTCAAGCCTATTTTGCTGACAAGTCAAACGTTAAGAGTCTAACTCTGAATTTCTTCTTTATATCAAAAACTCATGGTCATATATTAAAGATATTCCATCTACAGAGCATTTGTACTACTAAGTCTTTTATCAACTATTATTTATTTATATTTATATTTATTTATGTATATTTATTCATCAGCTACTGTATATGCAGACAGCAAAACAGAATGACATTTCCTACCGATGATCAGCACTAAAAAACTCCTCAGGAACCTTGTAGCATGTGGCCCAGCAAGAGACTTCTGTAATACCATAGATATTAAAGATATGTGTTCTATTTCCCTTTTCTTTCCAGCTTCTCAACACATTCAGTCCAGGGAATGCTTCTCCACCCAAAGCTAGGATTCGGAGCGAAGAATGTGCAGATAACACAGTTGATTTAATACACTGAACTCCAAATCTTCTAAGAAGTGTTGGTGTAGCCTGAATACCATATGACATAAATAATCAAAATTAGTACCATCAGACACAATCTATGTCTACGTTAGCTGCACTACTACATGCAGCAGAGACAGGCAACTGGGGGCATGTAAATGGAATCCAGTCTGCAGCAGATCACAAGCTGGCTTTAAGCAGGATCGCTTTGCTGGTACCATTTTAAATTAACAGGATTTTTTCCCTACACTTCCACATCCTAGCATTGTGCAGAAGGAGCCTTCAAAGTTAACACCAGGACACTTAAATGATAATTTCTAATGTCATACCTGTACTACAGACACACTGTGACGCTGAAAGAGAACCTCTGATAATTTCTGTGGCATCATTTTAATTTGTTGAGGTACTATAAGAAGAGAAGCCCCACTCGAGAGAGCAATGAACAGCTCAATGACAGATGGATCAAATGTTAATGGAGAGGCCAGAAATACCGTATCGTCTGGTGTAATTTTGAACACATCTCTACAGAAGAAAGAAATGCATTGCAATATTTATATACATTTGGTAGTACAGAGATGTAGCATTTTGAGAGAGACGCTGTATTCCCTTCACTAACTGGGATACGTAAAATCATGAAACCATCTAATAGGCCAATGACTGCCCCTTTCTTCCAAGACAAGATGAGATTGTTTATCTTGCATATGGTCTGGTTCCCTCATGGACCCCACTAGTTCTAGCGGGAACCTTAATGCACTACATGAATCTATGCAATTTCTCTCTTCCCTTTCCCTTTAGATCAGTGGATCCCCAACCATGGGAAAACCAGGTGTTCTTGGACTGCAACTCCCAGAAGCCCTCACCACTAGTTGTGCTCACTGGGGTTTCTAGGAGTTGCAGTCCAAGAACACCTGGGTTACCCAAGATTGTGAACCACTAGTTTACTTCTCTATTTTCTAAGCCTTCACTTGTATACAATTTACTATTCAGACATTTTTTAAAATCTCAACAAGCAGCTGAAAGGTTTTGAACAGAGCCCTTTCCATTTACTGGAAAATACCACCACACAGTAAAATGTTCTAAAACAGAATAGAAACAAACAGAATTATTATCAATTTCCATAGTATGTTTAGCTCTCTATCTCTCTCCCTCTGCCCACATACAAAAATGGCCACCCTCAGAACGAAACTAAGGCTGAAATCCTGTTTGTGTAGCTATATCATGTAAGGCTGGTGATATTATCACCATTTTTGAAAATAAAACCATTTTTGGAAATAAAGCATTCTTGATTTGTTTGGTAATATTAAGGTATTGATCAGTTTGTCCTTTTCACAATTCAATCCCCTCCCAACCCACTATATAGAAAGTCCCATCCTCTCACTCATGCCCCATCCAATCTACCAAGTGGATTCATCCACAAAAGCTTATACCAACTATATTTTTAACGTGTTTGAAGACTTTTGTTCAATTTCTCTAACAGCTACTTTAAACTTTGCTGTGTTGCAAGTAAGCTTCTGAAAAGCAACCCTGAAGACCACTACAGGTTTTCAAACATTGGCATACACAAAGTGCGGTGGAGGTGAGGAGATGTCCTATCTTCAATCAACTACTTACTCATTAAAGAAAAGGCTGTTTCCCTTCCTGAGGAAAAGATGGAGAAGGGTTCAAGGAGGAAGCTACCAGGCCAGAGAGGGACACACCCATGTCGTTTCTAGTCAGTGATTTTTCCTGCTGAGCAATATAAATGCATTTACAGTAGGACCCCCATATCTGTGGGATCAGTATCTGTAGTTTCACTTGCCTGAAAATATTAAATAAAAAAGACCCAAAATCCGTGTTCCTAAGAAGTATTACCAGAATTGGCCACTAGATATGATACTCTTTATGGGGTTTGTTATTACCTACGGTAGCTCTTGGAACTGATTCCCCATGGATACAGCAGTCCTACTGTAATCATTAGTCACTTAATCTGAATTTCAGAAGAGCCGCACCCATCTGTTGCAATCGTCTTTTATGCTTGTTTAAGATGGCCTATATGCCCATGGATAGGCTTTGTGCCATGTTCACCACTTTGATGATTTAAGACACTTTAAATATAACAATATGGACAGCCTTTATCTATTTATCTTTATTTAAACATAAATTATTGAAGGACTCGCTTACCGAAGATGTACAATATTTGGTACTATGCATTTATGAGGCACTTTGACAATTTTAGGGAGTCCAGTTGTTCCAGATGTATGCAAGATGTATGCTATGGAATGTTTTTGTCTGATATCCAACAGCTCCTCCGATGATTTTGACAGATGTTGGTCCAAGGCATGCGACTCCATGATAGTTGCCACTGCACAAATTTTATCATTATTATCTTTATGTTCTGCCAGCCGTTTTGCATCCACATCACGCTCTCTTTTTTTGAAAAAGAATAAGCCAACATTCTGTACTTCAAGGGAATTATGACTAAACCAGTGTCCATGTGCTACTGTGAATTTCTGAAAAAAGAGAATGAAAGATTTTATCCCAATAAAATTTTTATACCTCCTTTTTGTTTATGTGGTGTATCAGACAGAGTGATGGAAGGTAAGGGTTCAAATCCCCACTTGGCCATGGAAACTAACTCAGGGAGTAGAACTGGTAAAACTATAAATATCTCACTGACCTTGAATATTGCTGTAAGATGATTCTGATTTGATGGCAGAGAACAACATGACACATAGAACTTTGTTTTTGAAAAATAATAAATTCATAATTACTGTGATGAGATAAATTAAGGCAGTCTACCTTTGTAAGACAATTTTTAACCCTAAAAATGGGACCTCAACAGTACATTACCGCAGGCAAACGGATTAGGATCAATACTTGGTGATTACACCCTTTTATGAAGATCTGCAAGTGTGTGTATACTTTCACTGCATACATCTGCCCAGAGACCTTTGGGTAGTGTGGGTGGCATATAAGTTAAATAAATAAAAATAAATAAATTGCTGTTCACTGAGTTTGAACAATAATTACGCATCACCAAGTAGTTTCTCGAGTTTCTCACTTTCCAGGGTTTTCTAGGTACAAAGTACTCAGAAGTGGTTCACCATTCCCTTTTTCTTGGGGTGCTCTGTGATTTTGCAGTTTGCCATTACTACACAGGCTGGTTTTCTCCCTGGAGGCAGAATAAGGAATCAAACTCACAATCTCTGGCTCCGCAAACAGATACCTAAAGCTCAGAGCTATCCAGCCAGTGTGATTTAATTCCAGCATACTCCTGATATGCTGTCCCCCCACACCACTTTTCCTATATAGGCAATGTTCATTTTCTAAACAGTTGCAAATTTCTAATTTGACTGAACCCAAACCCAGTGAAATCCTCAAACAGAATTAAATATTATGAAACAGTGTAAGATATATTAAAATAATATGCAAGAACTGTTGCACATGGGACAGAGATTATTGTGTGGGAACGGATAATAGTACAAGAACAGGGAAATTCAAATTGATGAACTAAGAATGTTAACATTCACTGGAAGTTCAAATGCAGTTTGTACACTCTTGGGAGTACATCCCATTCAATTCAGCAGGATTAATTCAAAATAAAATTCTGGATCAACGCATACTTGAAAGGTGAAGCTAGTTTCCAAACCCCACTTTAAATGTCCTAATTAAAATAACCACCAAGAACTTTGAACTTACATTCACTTGGTCTTTGTCAACAAGAACATATTGGAAATTACATTTTTTCATAAAATGAGCTGACAAATTTGGAAGAGCATCTGGATCAATCACAGAATATGCAGCTGGTAGTTGGAGAATTCTGCCAAAACAAATAATATCATTTAGCAAGCTACTCTCTGGAGCCAAATACTGAAAAACAACTGCATTTATCTCAGAAGCAGTCTCCACTACTTACATTAAGATACTTAAGATATAGAGACTCCTAATCTAATTTTTAAAAAAGCCTCCTAATAAGATTCAGGCTTGAGCCTAATGGAACTACAGGGCAAAAAGAAAAATCCCCACATTTTCTTAGAGTTGAGGAAGAATTAGCACATATATTTGTATAAGAAATTCCCAACACTCCTCCCCCCACATGCCACTACAGGGATGAAGCACATGAAATAAAGATTGCTGCTTGCTGCTTTTCTATTGCAGTGTTTCCCCAACTTTGCAAATTCCAAATTCACATCCCAGCTAACCTGCATTTTAAATTCTGCAAGGGAGGGAGTGAAGCTAAGTGATTTGGAGCAGAAGACCAACCACTTCCTCTCCCACCTCTTCTCACAGCTTTCTCCTGAAACTACTTGAGATAAACAGCCTGTCAGGGCTTGTTACCTGCTTTTCTCTGTCAGATGAAGTCTAGCTCCAGCAACTATTGCAATGTGTTACATTTTCCTTGCCCTGGCAGAGAGAACTGCTATACAGGAGCTCAATGCATGCATCTGTGTGGGTAGGGGAAATGCAACATATGAAGCAGGCTGCATGTGGCCCCTTCTATGGTACCCTATTCCTGAAATTTTAGAGTTAAGAATTGCTGCTCCTGCGAGCCTCTAGGAATAACTGTTGTCCTTTACAGAAAGATATACAGTGGTGCCTCACTTAGCGACGTTAATCCATTCCAAGAAAAACGTCCTTAAGTGATTTAATCGCTAAGCAATTTTAAAAAGCCCATAGGAACGTATTAAAACGCGTTTAATACATTCCTATGGACTTAGAAACTAACCTTAAGCGAAATTCCTCCATAGCGGTGGCCATTTTGGGTGCCTCTAAAGCAAGGCAAAACAGTGGCCACTATTTTGGAACCGCCGATCAGCTATGCGAAAATGGGGGCTTTGCAATGATCGCGGGGAAGCGATCGTCGCAAAGCCCCCATTTTTGGCCAGCTGATCGGCAGGGCTTTGCGACGATCGCTTCCCCACTATCATCCCAAAGCCCCGCCGATCAGCTGTGCTTCGTCTCTCTCTCTCTCTCTCCACCCCCCGCCGCCCCCGCCTCGGCCGNNNNTCTTGCGATGGCGAAAAGTCCATCGCAAAGTGATTTCGTCATAAAACGGAGCGATCGCTATGCGAGGCACCACTGTACCTCCCACTTACTTCATTCACCTCCTGCAAAACAAAAAGCCTGACAGTAGTTTTTGCAAGGAAACATGGCCCTTAGATCTCCAAAACGTTCCCACCTTGACTTACAGATAAACATGGCTTATTACTAACTATATTTGGTATTTCCATTTTTTCTTTTTTTGTTCCCCTTTCAGATGTTAATTTTATTCTATTTTTTTATCTTATCTAGGACATTAAGTTGCAATAAATTCAAAGTGATTTGACAGCATAAAAGAACTTGTTAATGACCAAAGTGTGCCTTTACATGCAAGTTCCTTCACAGAGCTGCAAAAGTTGCATATGTCTATCATTATTTTTAAGACTATCGACAAAAGAAATTCTGTACACATCATACAATTGAACTTTGCCAACTAAAAATCACCTGTTTCTCTACATCTCATTCGTTTACACTAATCCATAGCTTTCTATGAGCTACACAGTCAAAGATTTTACTATAATCTATAAACCCTAACTGATTTTATTCTGTAGCTCTCTGGTACATTTTAGTAGCCAACACACAATTGCAATATCTCCTTTTCTGAATAGACCTTCAACATTCTGCATGCTTCTCATTTAACATATTCCAGTTATACGTGCCGTGCATCAGCAGAGTTTTTCATCTGTCTACATCAGCAATTAGAGATCCTTTGTTTGCATCTAGTTGTTTCATTGGCAATAGTGTTATTTGTACTGATCTCAATACAATTAGACTGGCCTACCCAACTTGCAGCTTGGTCCTCCAGTTACATTATTTTAAACTGCAGAGCAGGGGATTCAAAAGCATCACAAAAACTTACTTTTTTCAAAAGAAGTGAGGAAACAAGAGAGAAAATATAAAATTCCTCAGGAAAAATCATAAGCCTTTGACATGTGCAAATTTTGCCTTGCCTGGAGCACTGTAAAACTGAACACACCTACCTGATACAAAAGCTCAGCACTTAGATTTAGGCTCATTATTATGTGAATCACGCCATCTAGTGGCTTAAGTCATCAAAGGAAACAATCTTCATTTTGCAAAGATGTGTGTCAGCATAAAAACTCATCCAATGTTTTCATGAATACATTCATGCATATACAAGTTTCAAAATATTCTTTTTAAAAATTCAGGTTTGCCTTGAGGTTCTTTGAGCCTCAGTAAAACAAACAGGCCAATGAGGTACCTGTGCTCATATTTAAAACAGTATGCAAAGGTGAAATAATAGAAATACCCTATAATCCAAGAAGGCAGATTTATCCCTGGGTAGCAGTAGAGGCCAACCTCAGAACTTCCAGTGACAGTACAATGTTTCCTCAAGAAATCTGTTAGGTTCATGGCTACTTCAACAACTGTCTTATATGTGTAGGTAACAGGAGTTTGACTGCTGCACGCATCAAAGCACACTGCTCTTCTTGCAGGATATAAATGGGCTGCCATCTGAACAAGCTCTTGAAGGGTCATCATTACTATTTATATGGCATATCTAAAAAAAGGGGAAAAGCATAATTCACATAAAAGGCCATATGCATATAATAAGCATAAGTAGAATTTTCACATGATTCTACACCAAATGTCTCTCTGAGCATCTGGCTAACATTAAAATTAACCAAAGTATGACTATATTTTTCAGTTGCTGTTCAGATTAAAGGCCTTCAAATGAAAAGAATGAAACCTAAAACACAGAGGACAAATAATATTACAAACGCATTATTTATGCAATTTGTATACACTACAAAGTGATGACAAATCCAAAGACTGTATTTTACTCACTTTCTGATATCTACATTGATTTGGTTTAACAAAACTCATGAATGAATGGAACTGTGACATTATTCTGCAGCCTAAAAATACTTACCATAGACTACTCTTGAACCCAGTGTAATTTCCTTCCACTTAAACACACATATGATCAGGCAAAACAGAGATATGCGCTTCAGTTATCATAGTGAGAGACCATACACTAATCTGAGCTTTTTAGAAGAAGAAAGAGAAACATAGGCATACTAATAAAAACAGTGTACTAAAGGAAGACAGCAATTCAGCCAAATAGAAGTAAATTCAACAAGCTGATAAAGTTACTGTGTGTAAATGACTACTGTATTCTTCTGTATATAAAATGACACTTTTTACTAAAATCATTAGAGGAAAAACTGAGGATCGTTTTGTACACAGAAGGAGGCAGAGACGGAGGCAAAGGAGCAGTTGAACTTGGCAACCTCTTGCGGATGCCCATTGACTGCCACTGCCAGAGGGCCTCCTGCTGCTGCCAGGGCTCACCTGCAGCTCACATTGCCTGACTTCTCCCCTGTCCAGAGGGAGCCTGCGAGTAACACTGGAGGAGGTGATCTGGCAGTGGCCGCAGCAGTCAACGGGCAGCAGAGAGAGGTGGCTGCTTCTTTGCCTCACTCTCCTCCTCCTGTCGCTACTGCTGCCTCCGCCACTGAATTGTCTCCTCCAGCATCACTCGCAGTCTCCCTTCGGGCAGGGGACAAAGCAGCAACGTGATCAGGTGGCAGAGGCAGCAGCAGCAGCAGCAGACGGAGGCAGAGCCAGCCCTCACAGCTGCCTATTGACTGCTGCTCCGCCTCTGGCAAGGAACAAAATTAGGGGATCACTGTATACATTGGGGGGGTCATAAACACGGAAAAATACAGTACTCTGTAAGCTTAGACAAGATCTTATGCATGCTTGTCCTACTGAACAGAACTTTCAAAAATGCACACATAAGCCAAAGTTCTGTTGTTTAGCACAGTAAATTACGCTAGAGTAGGGCCGTTGAATCAATGGAAATTTGGTAGGTCAACTCCTCTATAAGTTCCTTTGATTCAAATAGGTCCACTCTAACTGCAAATTAAATCAGCACAGCAACCTGCAGTAACAGTAGGCCCATTTAAATCAATGGAATTTAGAGGAGCTGGCTCACTAAATCCACATTGATCACACTATTCTACTGTGATTTACTTTGCTTAGCAGCAGGATTGTGGCACAGTGTTGCATTATAACTGACATAACCAATTTTAAGCAAGTATTGCTAAAACCTGAATCTACAGTCAAATTTATCTCCACACATTTCGAATTTTTGTGTAGACATTCTTCTGTTATTCATAACTGGCAACAACTTGGGTTAAGAAGGCAACTGATGACTCTGAAATCTTCATGCTTAACCACAGCTAACACATGAAAGTCCCAAATCTAATGATATAAATTTAACACAGAAAACAAAGCTATTTACTTCTTGGGCGGGTATGCTAGCATTAGAAATCCTCAGCAACAGTTGCATACTCAAGAACAATGTTTAACAAGACAACTTCTGAACAGATAAATATAGTAAAATAACTTTTTTTTACCTGTACTGTAGTTCCTGACTAAAACCACAGAAGCATAGCAGCAGCAACCTAGTCCATCCTGGACATTCACTCTCACAGGTAGCTGTCTAGCTTAAAAAAAACCTACTGAGCAACAATAGCTGTCCTTGCAGCAAAGAAATACACACAGTAACCATCCCTAGTGGCAGACCCACATGTTAAGTACTGTATGTCCATATTTTTATTCATCTGCTTATACACCTATGTGATTGGCATAATCACTACTCTCCATTACTCTAATATATTTTGCAAAACACAATAAATCAGTTTTCACATAAAATACTTAATGGATACAAACATGATACTTGAAGTAGCAATATTAAAAAACAGTGGAGGAACACTTAGCATACTTCTGACATAAGGCTGGTCCTTGAACAAAAGAATAGAGTATAATTGGAAACAGATTGTTGAGAATTCCTCAACCCAGCTCAAGCTTCTGTATCCTGAACAATCACAAAGATTGTTTTATTTCACTAAATCAGATAATCTAAAGAGGAAAACCTGTTTTATTACCCCTCCTTTTTTTGTTTCTTATATGGCCCCTGTTTACGCAATTTCCTCTCCCAATATCTCTCACATTCCTATTCCCTCTGATCTGAGTACAATCCTTCACCCAGGAAAATTAAAATCTCTTGTACTTTGGACTGGAGTGAAAAAAAGGCGTTTCATTACCATACACATATATTTCTAGACCAAGTTCATTATCTCCCAAATGTTATTCGATAAATGACTGCTAAAATAATCAATGCTTGCCTCTTCTGCAACTTACTTCTGTCACATCACACATGGATTCAACTACACCATCACATCTCACTCTCCCAAATGAGCATTTGTATGACGACAGATCAGCTATAAAGCAACAGACAGGGCATCTTATGAAATGAGCTGGGATCCACGGAGCAGGTAGCACTACCATATATATTGTATTCTTCGTTGTCTTCCCCTTGGAAAGGTAACGCAGTTCCTCTACGGACCATGGTGTGTGTGTGTTTTTTTTTTAAAAAGGGCAACAATTTTCTGACAAAAATTAAAAGTATCTGTCATGCAGTCACATCTGATTGCTGCAAAAAACAAAACAAAACAAAAACAAAACGTAATGGTGTTGCACTGCGGACCCAAGTCAGTTTCATGAAGCTAATCTACCCCACTCTGAGCCTCATGAACTTGGATGGTTGGTCGGTCGGTCGGGTCTTCAAGCATTAGCTTCAGGATGAGGCCAAGCCCTAAACAGGGACCCTCTCGCCCCCACAGCGAGCCACGCAGCCCACTGAAGGAGTCTGAGGTGGTTTCTGACTACTTACTTTCGAGGCTGACGATCTTCTGGGCGGTGTGGTGTTGTTGGTGGGCTCCCAGCAGGAGACGAGAGGCTCCGCCCTCTTTCTGTCGTCAGCCGAACCCCCCACCCTCTCCCTGACTCCCAGCGAGCGACGGAAGGAGGGGAAAGGGCGGGCTTATGGAAAGGGAGGAGCGGGAAGGAGCGCGAGGAGCGGGCGGCGGCGGCGGCGGCGCAGGCGCAGAGAGCTCAGGGGGAGGGAGTACAGCTCCTCGTTGTGTGGCTCCCCTGATGGGCGAGCGAAGAGGATGGAGTGGAATTTTTTTTCCACCTTCGGGATGGAATTGTCCTCGCTCCTTGGTTTTAACTGAAGGAATGGCTACCTCTGGTTGGAGTTCAAGTAGTGGTGTAGCGGCCAATTTGGAAGCCCAGCTGTACATCATGACACTCATCATAGGGATTCTCCCCCCACTCAAATAATATTATTAGATGTTTACTTAAAATAGTTTTGCCCCTGTCTTTCTCCTCGAAAAGGGACCCAAGGCAGCTAAGGCAGGCAACCAGGTTGGTCCACATTAGCAAGTGTGCAGGTATTTTGGAAAGATGATACCTCTTGATTGCTCATTTAAGACCAAACTACTGTCAAATATTTTGAATTGCAGTGGGGACAGTTCCTAGGAAAATCCCTGGCTCCCAAGTACAGTACTAGGGAAAGTGTGTGACCAGAGTCTGGGTAAAGACTGGATCCATAAAGTCAAGAACAGATCTATATGATTTCATATTATTTTTATGTGGGAAGTCCTCGCCAAAGAACCATCAAATCGTAGATCCCATCTATGCCCAGAGATTACCCCACGGAAATAATGAATCCTTTGGCGGATGACTTCACAGTGGCGCAAAAAAAAAGGATCCGAGTCACGGAGCCACTTGATTTCATATGATTTTTAGATGGAATCCTCTAAACCACTCAGATCACAAGTCTCATCTATGCCCACAGATTGCAACACAGAAATCGGTATTTTTAGCAGTGGTGTAAAAACATGGATCTGAGGCATGAATCCTAATAGATCCACATGAATTTGATGTAATATCCCCAAACCACTGACCAGTCATAGGCTCCATCTGTACCCATAGATTACCAAAACCATGAGTTCTTCAACACATAGCTTTACAATGGCAGAAAAACAGGGATCCAAGACATAGATTCTGTGCAAAAAGAAGCTGAACACATTCCATATGTGTTGTATCCAACACATTTTTAGTATCACCTGGCAGGAGAAAGTTCCAAACAGTGCAATTCTAGGACGAGCTGGAATTTTTAGCATGTATACATTACTGAAACAGTGACATCTATGTTGGCTTGGGCATGTAATGTAAGGGCTGATGGTCAAATTCCAAAGTATCTCCTGTATGGAGAATTAGTGCAGGGAAAGTGCCCCAGACCACAGCTGTGATACAAGGATATCTGCAAGCGGGATCCAAAAGCCTTAGGAATGGACCTCAACAGCACCACAATTCTAAAGCATCAATTCTTTGGCGGTCAGCCTTCTTTATGGTCCAGCTCTCAGTTCCATACATCACTACTGGAAAAACCATAGCTTTGACTATGCGGACCTTTCTCGGCAAGGTGATGTCTCTGCTTTTTAAGATGCTGTCTAGGTTTGTCACCGCTTTCCTCCCAAGAAACAGGCGTCTTTCAATTTCGTGGCTGTCACCATCTGCAGTGATCATAGAGCCCAAGAAAATAAAATCTGTCACTGCCTCCATATCTTTCCCTTCTATTTGCCAGGAGGTGATGGGATCAGTGGCCATGATCTTAGGGTTTTTTTTGATGTTGAATACGACTATTACAGGAGTTTAAAAGGCAGCATAGAGGCCCCAATACTTTTTAATTTTTCTTTTCTGTTAGAGGTGTCCATATCTGTGTTTTAGGCCACAGCTTCCAGAATTCCTTAGGCAACATGGCCTTCCACCCACTACCCACTACCCAAAGCAAGAAAAACAACAAAGCAGGAAAAAAAATACACACTAGAGATAATGATTATTATTAATATTTTATTGATATACAAACATCTATGAAAGACTTGCAAATATTTAAAAATATATTCATGGTGAAAATATTAAAACATTACAATTTTATTTTTATTAAAATATTTAAAATATTTATAAAATTATCATCTCTATGCTAAGCGCATACTGTTTCAGAGACATCCACCTTGAGAGAGAGCTTCTTTCTTTGTTGGAGTCTAGCTTCCATCAGTGGGCTGGGAAACACTGTGGCTTGGATCACTCTAAACATGTATCTACAATTTAAGGAGAGATTCAAATAAGTTTTATAGACATACTTATGTTTTAGCTAAATACAACTCTGACATAAAATGTTTCCACTATCTAGATCACTACAAATCTTACATACTTCCTCAATTTGTCCAATCATTTAAAAGCCATTAGGGCAAGGATGAGGAACATGTGGTCCTACAGCCACGGCTGGATTGCAACAAGTTCTGATGGCTGCAAACTTTTTTTAAAAAAGGATTGAACAAATTGACTGAAAAAGGTCATGATGAACTGTTTATTGCAAGCAGTGTTTTACCTGGTAAGTCAGAGAGTCTTGAACAAGCCTTACATGGAGATATGGTAGTATCTCTAGAGCTCATATTTAACATACTGACAATGGGAGCCTTGTCTTGGGCCCAATCAGACAATGCAGTGAGCACAACAATCTCCCTCCGGAGATTTGCACGGCCCCCACGCTGGGTATCTTTAAAAACCAATTTAAAACATGGGTGTTTATTCGGGCCTTCCCGCCAGTCAATACTTGATCTTTTTTTTCTTTTTTCTTTTTCTTTATTTCTCGTCTTGTAAATTATTTGAATATTTATTTAATTCTTTTTGTGTTATTCTTATTAGTTGTTTATGTTGTATTGGAAGCCACCTAGAGTGGTCGCAAGACCAGATGGGCGGGATACAAATAAAATAAAAAAAATAAATTGGAAGTAGACCTTCCCAAACTTATTACACAAGACATATTTTTTATTATTTTTAATTTTGATTTTTTTTTTAAAAAAATCACATAACAACCATAAACATCACTCATAAAGGAACAACCATAGGAGAAAAGAAGAGAAAAAAAGAGAAAGATAAGAAAAAGACAAAGACAAAAGAAACATATAGAACCTAGTGGTTACAATAATACAGTATAATCTTGACTCTATGCCTATGTCACAGTACTAATATTCATAACAAATGCTATATTTTCTGCTCATACTTGTTTCTGGTCCCAGTCATAGAACATTTTCCAGCTTTCTTTAACATATGCTCTCCGATTTTCACGTAACACTTCTGAAAGGCTATCCATTTCTGCAATATCCAATAACTTTTTAATCAGCTCCTCAACCTTCAGGTTCTCCTGATTTTTCCATTTTTGAGTCCAAATCAGCCTTTCAGCTATAAATATGTGTATCAGCATGTACAGTATTTAAATACCCCCTCCCAACAATTTCTGGCATTATGTTCAGTAAAAACATTTCTGGTTTAAAGGCTATTTTCTGTTGTATAATTCATTGTGTAATATCTTTTATCAGTCTCCAAAATCTTTTTATTTTATCGCATGTCCACCACATATGAAAAAAAAAAGTCCCAGGTTGCTTAACACACTTCCAACAGGAGTCACTAGCCCCCAACACCATTTTTGCCAATTTTATAGGTGTGAGATGCTATCTATAAAACATCTTTAAGACATTTTCTCTCAAGTTTACTGGCTTAATCCATTTATAGTTCTCATTCTACATTCATGTCCAATAATCTATATCTATATCTATATTATAACCGAAATTTTGTGCCCATTTAATCATCACAGCGTTCACCTTTTTGTCTCCTAAATTATACTCTAACAAAAAAGTATATTTTTGTGTAATTTTTTTAATTTGTATAAATCCATAAGTCATCCACCTGTACCTGCCCCTCTTAAAAATGCATTGTTTTATCTTTCTTAAACCTTGATTATAATTTCAGTATCAACCACCAGTCTGTTGGTAGACCCATTTCCTTCAGTTCCTGTATATTTTAATTGTTGATCTTTTGTTAGAAGCTGTTTATATGTATATCTCATTTCTTTCAGGATCAAAGAAAGTTGTGGAAAAGCTTCCAGAGGCGCTACTCATATTGGGATTTTTTTGTATGTTTGCCCCTGGAATTTTTGCCAAACCTGGTATAAAGCTCTCCTTACAATTTGATCAGAAAAGTGGGTTTGATCTTTGACCTTGTTGTACCATATATATGCATGCCAACCTAATCTTAATTCATGCCCTTCCAGTTTAAAGAGTCTTAGATCCTCTAAAGTAATCCAATCCTTTACGCAGTTCAGTGCATAGGCCTTGTAGTATAATAAACAATTTGGTCGACCCATTCCTCCTCTTTCTTTTAAGTTATGTAGTGCTTTGAGTTTTATTCTTGTTTTTTTTTTTAGTTTGCCATATATTATTTATTTTATTTTATTTATTAGACTTCTACCCCAGCCAACTAGACCAACGGTCTACTCTAGGCAGTTTACAAATTTAAAAACAGGGAAACCAATAAACATATACCATAAATCCAATATGGCAAAGATGTCAGAATTAAGATACGGCAGGAGGGAAAGCCTGCTCAAAGCCTGCTCAAAGCCTGCTCGAATCTCCACGCGCAAGTTGTTCCAAAGGTAAGCCACTGCTGAGAAGGCTGGGTTCTTCGTTCTTTCCTTCTGGACCTCCCTTGGCATTAAGCCCCTCAGTCGCCCAGCCTCACTGAAACGAGTGACTCTGGCAGAACTGGGTGGGAAGGAGGCGCTCTGCCAGATATCAAAGCCACTGCTGAGAAGGCTGGGTTCTTTGTTCTTTCCTTCTGGACCTCCCTCGGCATTAAGCCCCTCAGTCGCCCAGCCTCACTGAAACGAGTGACTCTGGCAGAACTGGGTGGGAAGGAGGCGCTCTGCCAGATATCAAGGTCCAAAACGGTTTAGAGCTTTATATCTCATCATTAAAACTTTGAAATCAACATGGAAGCAGATGGACAGCCAATGTAAGGTGGCCAGAGTGGGGGGAAATATGGTGATGCCTCTTCACCCCTGTAAGAAGTCTGGCCACCATATTCTGCACCATCTGGAGTTTCTGCGTCAGTCTCAAAGGCAGCCCCACATAGAGCGCATTACAGTAGTCTAATCTCGAGAATAGTTTTGTTGAGTTTCAGACTTTCCTCTTTTTTATTGAAGTTCTGCTGGTGCTTGTGGATTTCAATGGCTTCCCTGTGCAGCCTGACATAATGATTGCTGGTGTTGTCCAGTATTTCAGTATTTTGAAATAGAATTTCATGTCCAGCTTGTTTTTGGGCATGTTCAGCTACTACAGATTTTTCTGGTTGTTTTCGTCTGCAGTGTCTCTCATGTTCTTTGATTCTGGTGTGGATGCTTCGTTTTGTGGTTCCAATATATACCTGGCCACAACTGCAAGGTATTGTCTGTGGAGTCCAGTTTTTTGTGGGTTGTGTGGATTCTTTTTGATCCTATATGCAAGCCATATGGTTTATTCTCATTTTCAAAGAAGTCTTGTCTTACAAATTGTATTTTCCTTGCTATCTCTTCCTGATAGAGCAGATTGATTTTGTGCTGTAGTATATTCATCTTATTTTTAAATTATTGTGCTGTAGGATTTGTCTTTAAAGCTGCTTCCTCTTTTTTAAGGACCGCTAATAGATTTTGGTACTGCTTGTTTTTCTCTCTCTTTTGTGCTACATAATTAAATACTAATCCTCGAAAGTAAGCCTCCCCCTTTTCCCAGAAATTCTAGTATCTTGAGGTTTATTTATTTTAAAGAAGAACTCTAGTTCTTTTTAAATTTTCTTCAGACAGTCTTCATCCTTCAGCATATAGATATTTAGTCTCCAGATTCCTCTTCTTTGTGGGCAATTGAAGGTCATCCAAATTGGTTTATGGTTTGCGTACAGTATTTGGTAGAATCTCTATGTCTTCCACATGGTAGCGCTGCAGGTTAAACCACAGAAGCCTCTGTGCTGCAAGGTCAGAAGACCAGCAGTCGTAAGATTGAATCCAGGCGATGGAGTGAGCTCCCTTTGCTTGTCCCAGCAACTGCCAACCTAGCAGTTCGAAAACATGTAAAAATGTGAGTAAATAAATAGGCACCACCTCGGTGGGAAGGTAACGACGTTCTGTGTCTAGTTGCGCTGTTCACGTGACCACGGAAACTGTCTTTGGACAAACGCTGGCGCTATGGCTTGGGAATGGGGATGAGCACCACGTCCTAGAGTCAGACACAGCTGGACTGAATGTCAAGGGGAACCTTTACCTTTACCTATGTCTCCCAGTTGTTGACTTAAATCTGCTGAGATCCAACAATTATCTATTCTCGACCAAGATCAATGTCTACTTGAGTAGAAGGTGAAGTCCTTTTGGGAGGGGGGCAATCTATTTCTCCATACATCAATTAATTTTAACTCTTCTGCCATTTCCAAAAAGTTTTTCGGAATTAGGTTTCCTCTTCTTTTCTCCCTTTTGCTGTTCATCATTGAGGTGTCTTTTTGATTGTCAATTACCGCGTTAAAATCTCCAATTAAACATATTCCTTCTTCAGTTCTTTGAATTAATTCCTTTTTGAGGCCTTCATGAAATTTTCCTTGTGTTTTGTTTGAGGCATATATATTTACTATCAACATTTCTTCTCCTGCTTTCTGGACACTGACTATAAGTATTTTTCCATCTTCAGACGCATATATAAGTTTAGAGTTTAGCTCCTTTTTTACATAGATGGGTACTCTTCTTTTGTTGGTCAGATGCTGTAAAAACGTTACTTAGTTTTGTATTTTCTAACAGGGATCTATCATTGTCTCTGACATGAGTCTCTTGGATGCGATTACATAAGACATCTGATTGTCCTAGCATGACCTTTTCTCACTTCACATTTTGCAAACTAAATTGCTTTTGATTTGTAGTTGGTTGCCTAAATATAAACACAGGGTTCATTTGCAAGTCTGATTGTACTTTGAAGGAACTGTGTGGCTGGAGTGGAAATACTGTAACAGCAAGAAACAGTTAATTTGCTTTTGGGCTGTGCCATTTCAGCTAGCAAGTGATAGATATGATTACACAGCAGAATGCACCCCCATAAGGCATGGCCATTTCTACTTTTTTTTAGAGAACCATCTAGGCTACGCTTCTCCTGACCCCTAATTTTCTGGAGGGAGAAATTGTTACTAGAGCTATTATAGACACATTTATTTTCCAGCTTCCAAAAGTAACTGAAATAGCTACTTTTAATGCCTGCTTTAGAAGAACTCTTTTAGTTTCTTGGTTCTTTATCAATACCTTTTTTTAAAAAAATCTGAATGCTTATGGTTAAAAAGCTCTCTCCTCGTGTCCAATTTATTGTCCTCTTGAACAATTACAGCTAGGCACAAGTCAGTAATGCAAGTGAACATGCAAATTGTGATATTCTTCCTCTAACATTTAGCGAGACCACATTTCTATAACTAGAACTAACTATAAAACTAAAAGTTATAGTTGTGTTGCAAGAGTTCTCTTACGTTCCTTGTGTTACAACTGTAATGTAATACAATTGCATCTTCATTACTGAGAAAGAAATTAACTACAAATATCTAGTTATTTGTGATTAGTTACCTCTAAATGTTGATACTTTTATGGGATTCCATTCCCTTTGTGAAGTACTATAGCCCAGATAAAGGTTTATCACTTCATATTAGGATTAGATCTAATATGAAGAATAAACTGTTTTCTTTGGCTTTAATACAACTTTTTCTTATAAGAGATCTAGCTCAAGAGTTATTTAATAATACCGAAGGAGTCATACTAGCCCCGGATTGCCATTAAACAAAGTAAGCACATGCTTAGGGCATCAACAAGGGAAGGGGATACCACAGAGTCTTCTTCAGTGCTGGATTTTCCATGGACCGTGGTGCAAATTATGCACCCTCCTTAACAAACCACATCCATCCAAATCCCTCAGCTCCATCCCTCCCTCTTGAGTCTCAAGAAAACCACCTCCCTGTCTAAATCAATTAAGTATGATAAAAAAACCCTAAAAAGTAAAACTCGCCTAGTGAGAAAACACATGTTTTGAATGAAATGATCAATCATCATAATTGCTTGATTTTTTAATTTTAAAAAATTCTGTATTTTGGGAGGTTGAGTGGCAGATAAGGATAAAAAGAGCTGCTGGTCTTTTAGATCTATGGCCTACACACTATATGTGCAAGCCAAAGAAATAACAGCCACTGTTAGAAACACCTCAAAACGAGGTTTAAGCTCTTGCTTGAGCTCTTTTCAGATTACAGATTCTGACAAAATCTGTCTACATTAATCAAATCATGAAAGTGCAAGATTTGGCTGGAAGCTGGTTTTGTGACAGTATGTATTATTTTGTATATGATATATGGTTCTTTTTGCTATATGCTATAGCAGCTATACAATGAAATTGCTGTATTTTCATGCATATAATGTGTGTATTATATGTTTTTTTTTCCAAGCCGTGGGACCTGCAGCATGTTATATTCATAGGGGTCTACTCTATCATGTGTAACATCGCCCTCCGTTTTTTTTCCAAGCCGTGGGATCTGCAGCATGTTATATTCGTAGGGGTCTTCTACTCTATCATGTGTAACATCGCCCTCCTATGACAAAAGGACCAAAGCATGGCAAATTTCATGTATAAATGAATTTCTTTCACCCCCACCCCAAGGCAGTAAAATACCTTGGAAAAAGAGCTACCACAGTTGAGATGATACAAATCAAATAAAACTTGGGATCAGCCAGCTGTCTCTGTATAACCCAATATGGATTGCCTTGTGGGTTACAGGTGACGCAGGTAGCTCCAAAAGCCATAGTAATGCTGAAGAACAACAGGATGCTTATTCCAAAAACTGCAAAGTGTATCCAGTTCTGAAATAAATTTTATAAAAAAACAGATGGGGATGATTGGCACTAGTAAAACCACTCCTTGAATATATCATGTATCTTAAAACAGACATCTCAGTCAGGTTGCCTGAGCTTGGGAGAAGATGGGGGAAATGAAAGCAGGGTGCGTAGGTAGCATCCTTCTTGGCCCTTTGTAGTTTCTCATCCATTAGATGGCCTGGCCAGGCCAGGAGGGAAAGACCTGCTGCTTTAATTGCTGCTGGTTCATCAGAGGCTCTCCAACTGCAACTGCAAAGAGCCACTGGTCCTGCTGTGGAGTGGCAGAGCTCTCCTGGGTGGAGGGAGCACAGGAGTATCATGTTGGCTAATCAATCCAAACGCTAATTTCAAGTTCTGAGAGGAAGGGGCCTGCATCAGAAACTAACTGATTTTGCCTGTTTGACATACTAACCCATCAGAGGGATTTGTAGTTTCCTGGGTTAAATAAGTTCCACCCCTTGTCACTCCCCTTCTCACCATGAGGTTAGAGAGACTCCATTTTGTGTGATCCAGATTCTTCTATGCCTTGTAAGATGTTAAACCTCCAGGCAGGATCTCTGACGTCCAGAGATCCTCCCAGCCACATGGGCTGAAGAAAAGAAACCTTTACCCTTTACTACTTTCCTTCTGTATCAAGCTGAAACCTGCTGAATGCCTGTTTCATGCGAGTTGAATATACCAAACCTTTCTACACTTAAGAATCGCCTCCTGAGTGTTGATTAATGGAAAGTGCTAGGTGAGGGTGGATAAACAAGGGTACTTCTAGCGAAGTTAGCTGGCCTTCCACTGTGCATCTTATTGGAACTTAAACAAGTTCCCAGAACTCTCAACGTACCAAAGGCTAAGGACCACACTTGCTCTCCCTCAAAGAAAGCTTTATTGTACAAGGCACAACCATTCCCTGCCACTGCCTTGAGACCAGTAGTTACACAAACCAAATTTGTTTAGTGTCTCAGGAATCCAGTCTTGTAGCTTCCAAACAAGAAAGGGCTCATAAACCAACAACCTGGTTTAAAATAATTGCTTGTAAGGGGAACAATCAGTCAGCATCTTTGGTTAGGATGAAGCACTAATCAAACCAGTCAAGTAGAGCCAAGTGTGGGGAAAATGGACAATTAACAAAGGCCTTTGAGTTGATAACATTGTGACTCAACTCTGTCTTGGAATAATTTGTGAATTCACCCTTGAACCTATGAGCTATGTACTCACCAAAGATTTACTCTCAATAACAAGGTGCAGGAGTATTATAAAGAACATGGAAGCGTTGAGAGGAGTCCCAAAAGAGTACAGGTCGATATCAGAGTTCTGATAGATCTGTGAAAGAACAATTAGTTCAAGCTGACATCTTCTATATTCCCAATGAAGTCCATATAGCATAATGTGGTAATGATACACTTTAAGATTACCAATGTTTTTAAAATACAGTGGTGCCTTGCTTAACGGGCGCCCCGTTTAACGACAAATCCGCATAGCGATTAAGTTTTTGTGATCGCAAAAGCGATCGCATTGCGATGTTTTAGATAGGAAAAAATCACTTTGCGATGATCGGTACGCTGTTTCGCTTACCGGTTTTCGCATAGTGATGATTTTCCAACAGCTGATTGGCGGTTCCAAAATGGTCGTTGGGTAAAAAAATGGCCGCTCGCTGTGTTTTCGCGCCAATTCCTCACTTACCAGGCAGCGAACATGGCCACCGTATGGAGGATTTTCACTTAAAGGTGAGTTTTTTGCCCATAGGAATGCATTAAATGGGTTTTAATGCATTCCTATGGGCTTTTTTATTTTCGCATAGCAACGAAATCGCTTTGCAGCAATTTTTGCTGCACGGATTATCGTCGCTATGCGTGGCACCACTGTATATAAATTTTAATTTACGTTATGAATATGGGGAAAATTCAAACAATATGCAAAGAAACAGGCAATTGTTAAAAGCTGGGGGAACAAAGGCCAGGGCACAAAAATTCCTAATACTTACAAAGTAAGAGATAAAAAAGCAAACCAGGCTTTGGTAAAATGCATCTACCAAGTTCAGGGCAAAAGCTAATCTCCCATATGGCTGAAAAAGAAACACCGGAGAAACACATCTTTAACACAGGAATAGACTTCAGTCATTTTGAATAATCATCTTCACAGGCCTAAATCTCTGTCTGCTGAACTGCCAAAATCTATGTTTTTTCTTATGAACAGCATCATTGATCCCAGTGACTGTAAGCTAACCTGCTGCATTTCAGATCACAGATGAGGGATTCAAAGGAGAGAGTGCAAACTTAGTTATAATGTGAGCATTTGTTGCCATATATAAAAACAGCTTTCAGGTTGCAAAACTAAAATTGGAAATGTCGTGGTGAAACAGGAAGAGCGTGATGTCCCTTTAACCCAATCACTGAAAACGATGCAGTGAAAAGGTCTTCGTATATTAAAAGAGCCAATGTAATTATGGGACTTGTGATCAACAGCTGGTGATGTACAAAGAATGGAATGACTGCCTTAGAGGGTGACTACATAGTCAATTACCATGGGATTTGCTTGGCTTTTAAAATGGGTGAAATTGGGTTTTTTTAAACCATCTACATGACTTGTAAGTCTGTTTTGAATTGGTCCAGCCTACTTAAAGCCATTCCAGTTGTTTTTCACAGTCTTTAGAAGGCCACAGGTTTTTCATGATGGCTTTCTCCCCTGCAGGCATTGTTGTAAAGATGTCTCTCTGTGTGTCTGTAGTGCCATTCATATCAATCCACAAAGCTTTTCTATAGAAAAATAATGTGGAAAAGGTACTTCATAGTCTCAGAATCAAAAGTTTGAACAGTAATTTTGCAGAACACATTATCATTAATGACCATCGGAATGGTTCAGTTTGGGTTCATTCCCTTCCCATCACTCATCAGTTACCACCTTCCTTTACTTTCAAGTAACATTTTACTGATTTACTGATCTCTGGTGACATATAGTTTTATGCTAGTTTAAACTAGTTGTTGTCACCAGAGATAAGAAGCCTTTTGCTTACCTTGAAAGCCAAGTAATTTTACTCCTGACTTTTGTTCATGATATTATTGTTTATGTAGTCTGGATACCCTGCTAAAGAATTTCAGGCCAATATTTGCAGCATAAGCATATAAGTATATACAGTAGTAGGCAACCAGGGCACATTTCTGCTGAGAGTTCCCTAAAACATACTTACGGAAACACAAACAAGCAACAGCGATGAACAGGGCAGCCAGAGATAACAAGACATCCATCAAAGGACTGTCTCATGCATATCTGCTCTTCCAAAGTCACTTACATTCCACTGTCTGGAAGCTTTGTGAAGCTTAGGATACCTTTAATCTCCACATCCCCATAGGATTATAAAGTGACAGAGAGTGCATCTTAAAATCTTGGCAAGGATTGGGACCAAGAACACGTGAATCAATTCAACACTCATTTCTGAGCCAAGATCCAATTGGCAAGGATTGGGACCAAGAACACATGAATCAATTCAACACTCATTTCTGAGCCAAGAAATACACTACTGTATTTTTTGCTCCATAAGACACACTTTTCCCTTCAACAAAAGTGAGGTGAAAAACCTGTGCGTCTTATGAAGAAAATATATTGTGTTTGGTTCCCTCTAGTGGTCAGTCTGATAATTACACCTTCTTTATGCTGATCTGGAAGGATGCTGCTTCAAGCTTGCTGGGACTAGGCAAAATGGTGGTGGCTGATACCCCCCTCCTCCCCCAGTACTGTACTCATTAGTAGCACTGATACTACAGGGCATCCATAGCAGCCCTGTAGGACCAGTACTGCTTACTGGACAGCCGGATCACGTGACCAGCCAGATGCTGGGGGAAGCAGAGAGAGAGAGAGAGAGCTCCGTGGAGGAAGGGTGAAGACTCATCCAGATGCCATAAATTACATAATACAGAAGAATTCCTGGCTGGATTGCTGACTGGTGACATTAAGGGGCACATGAGGCGTTGTTGGTGAAAAGTAGGATTTGTTTCAGTTGCTCACTGAGTGAAAGGCTTTTAGTTTTTTTGAAATTTGTCATACTATTCAAAGCAACCCACTCTAATGGTATCTTAAACCTGGATTTTTGATACTTTACACTGATGTATTGCACCTTGGGGTGTCTACTTCACTCCCCTAATGGTGAACACAATTCAAAATGTATTATATAAAGCAAAAGACCTCCTCACGTGGGACCACTCTGCCTATAGAGATAACATAAAACTTTATTATACTATTTGGTTCAGAATTTTTTTTTTCCTGTTTTCCTCCTCTAAAAATTAGCCGTGTCTTATGCTGAGGTGCATCTTATGGAGCAAAAAATACGGTACCTCATTTTCCAGACTAGCCTTGTAAAGTTCAGGATGGCGCAGAAGGGTTTCTGCAGAGAGATCTTTGTCTAAAATGCCAAAAATAATGGGTGGTAGTGATGTGTACAGAAGGTTGAAGAAAATCAAGCTCCAGTAGTCAGTCATGGGGGTTCCTGAAAAGCCACAGAAGAACTGGTACCAGAACAGCAGGTTTACGTAGGCCTGTTAGGATCAGAGACAGGAATTAAAAGATGGAAATCTTATCAGTGAGAACCAGTGGTGGGGTGATTATAGGAAGTCAAATTGTCTTTATAATAATGTATGAAATGTAGCATGTTGACAGTCACTCAATCCTAAAGCCCTGGAAATAGTAAGGAGAGCTAAATGGTTCTAATATTTCTTGGCACCAAATTTCTAAGATACTTGAGGAAGACATCAGTTTAATCCTAGTGGGAGGAGGAGACAAAAGTTTGACTTTTGGTACTTGGTTAAACACATGGAACATAATACCTCTACTTACATGCAGAGGTAATTGTTCAACAAAACAGTTTCAAAACACTGTACAGCAATTCAACAGAATTAAAGCAGAAGCTATAATGCAAGATATAAAAACGCAAGCTATGATCACTAAGCCACACTTAGGTGAACTGCCATAGCACCAAAATGAGGCCAACGTCAGTCCCACTTATGATGTAAGGGAAGGGCTTTCTGTATCTAGGGTACTGCAGCTGCTACTATAGTCTCCAACCACATGTAAGATAATTACTGTACCACTTCCCTGTTCTCCTTGAATGTTATATCGTTACAAGAATACAGTAATGCTCACCTTATCGCATGGCCAGATGTCACAGACAGCAAACTCTCCATGCAGTTTGATCTTAACTGTTAGAGCTATGCACGAAGGCTATATTTAAAAATGTCTTGCAAAACAGATGCATTTTATCATATGGCTAGGAATACTTCCTAAGTCTGTAAAATACTGAAGCTCTCTCTGAATTCTTGCTGCTCCCAAGAAAGCCCATAGCTGACAAGCCTGGCCTGTTTCAGATATTCATGCCCAGGCTGAAACTACACAGAAAGATGCTGGTGAAAATTCACAGATTTCAGCAGTGGAGCCAACCTGTTGCAGTCTCTTATTAATGCTGACTGATAGCTCTTTGGCACAGATCATATTTAATAGATTGTAACTGCCTCTGGAGCACTGATCCTTAACCTAAGACAGATGGGCAGTCTCAGTTTCTGCTGCCACAGTCTAATACTCCCTTTGCTAAATATTAAGAAGCTGTTCTTTCCCTACTGTCAAAGCCATTGTGCTGTCCGTGGGAGCTGCATACCAAATTCTTGTAGAAAAAGTAAAGGATCATGTTTGCCAGGCGGTTGTAACACCAGTGACCATGAACAAACAGCAGCTTCTTGAGATATCTGAACTGTGATACTGCAAAATCGCTTGCCAACACAGCCTGAAAACAAGCACAAAGGGAACAAAATAAAGCAACAAGCTGACAGACAAGGAATGGCACCTGGAGATTTGATTGGCTGATGCTGTCTTATCTTTTGCTCTGCACTTTTTACCCCTATTGAAACTGACTGTCCGCCAGCTCCACTGTTTCATGCAAAACCAGGCTTTGCATAAGCTTCCTAGCGCAACAGTCAGGGCCTTGTGGCTCTCTTTTACCTGATGTGGGGCAGTCAGCCAAATCTCTATCCGTTCTAATTGCCTTTTACTCTTCACCCTTCTACTCAAACCCCATCCGTGTTCTAGCTTCTCCCTCAATCGCTTCTCTTCAAATAATATTCCCCAGGGTTAATAATAATAATTCAATACTGTACTTCCATATTTGTCACTCTACGAGTTAATCCACCTCCTATCCGTCTGACTTAATATCGAGACACATGTTGGTGCTTCTTATTTTTGGAAAGCCGCCTAACTGAGACCTTTATACACATGTGGGTCCAGTGGTGATCACCCCACTCATGAGAGTGGGCTCTCCGCCTCGCCGAGAGTCAAGGCAAGATTCCCAACCCACAGTTCACCTGTGGACTGTGGCACTGGTGAAGGAGAGGCAGACAATGCCCTTGAGGCTGCAGGTGTTGCAATGGACGAGATGGGATTTAAGGAGGCAAGTTAGGCAGGAGAAGAAGACTGTTGGGCACACACTATGGTCTAAGGTGTGTGTGAGTCCCAGGAGGTGCTGCCACTGCTGGAGAGGTCAACGGGTGGATGGGAAGTGGTCCACCACTACGATTCCAAGACCAATTGCTGGGTCTAGTTGCTTATGCCTCCAGAAGAAGCTGCCTGGGCCCATTGGAACCTGGCCAAGTGCTGAGAAGCATGGAGGCTCAAGAACCAGCATAGAGCCTGTCACTGGCAGAGGAAGCAGCAAGGGTAAGTGGTCCTATTAGAGCAACCCCACGGTCAGTCTGCCACCTGGTCTCCTGAAGGTCAGCCTCCAGCTCCTCCCCACTCTGCATGCTGCTATGCATGAAGCGCCAGCCAGGCCCATGTAGAGTTCGGCCCTACCTCTCAGAAGAATTACTGCACCTATGGGGTGGCGGTTGTCAATGGGGACTATGTCAGGGGAAGGAGCCTTCACCACTCACCTCACAACTGACAAGTGTGCATCCAGCAAGGTGTCCTGGAACTGGTAGAGGAGGCAGGGCTCCAATCCTCTCAGGGAAAGACTTATAAAGGGTTTCCCCCAAAACCCCAGGACTGAAGATAACTCCCTGACTCCCTAAAGTTTTGTTATGTGGCCCTGTTGGCCCTTTAAGAAGTTCCAGTGCTCTAATAAAGAGCCTGTTTCTAACTTGTGTCATTATGGAGGGGGGCATGATGGCCACTCCCAACATATTACACTGGTCATTTGAATAAAAGAATAAGGTGGTGACTAAACAGGTGGAGCTCAGAATACTTTCTTCTAGAACTGTGTAATATCATGCTGCATATTTCCACGGTGTTATCTAGCCTTTGATTTCACTAACAAAGTATTAGGTGATCAAGGGGCTGTATGGTTCCTAGCGAAATGGATGGAGAGGCAGCACTACTTTCATTTACTTTCCTTCTTTCACTCTGTCCTACTGTTAGAAAAATATATTGATACCCCTTTTCATTCCAATATGTATTCAATATATTTTCACTTTACTTCACTTTAGAGTGGTCCCTTGCTTAGCGACGTTAATCCGTGCAGGAATTCTTTCACTCTGTGCTACTGTTAGAAAAATATATTGATTCCCCTTTTCATTCCAATATGTATTCAATGTATTATCACTTTATGTCACTTTACAGTGGTGCCTTGCTTAGCAACGTTAATCCGTGCAGGAAAAAACATTGCTAAGCGATTTCATCACTAAGCGAGTTTTAAAAGCCCATAGAAATGCATTAAAACGCGTTTAATGCGTTCCTAACCTTTGGGAGGACAGCGGGGGAGCCCTCCCCCGCGGTCTTCTCAAAGTCCCCGCCGATCAGCTGGGGGAAATGGGGCCTTTGGGAGGACAGCGAGGGAGCCCTCCCCCGCGGCCCTCTCAAAGTCCCCGCTGATCAGCTGGGGGAAAAATGGGGCCTTTGGGAGGACCATGGGGAGGGCTTCCCCCCCATCATCCCTATGCCCCGCCGATCAGCTGGGGGAAATGGGGCCTTTGGGAGGACCATGGGGAGGGCTTCCCCCCCATCATCCCTATGCCCCGCCGATCAGCTGGGTGAAAAGGCCGGCTTTGAGATGATGGGGGGAAGCCCTCCCCCCCCATCACCCCGAAGCTGGCATTTTCACCCAGCTGATCAGTGGGGCGAAAATGGGGCCTTTGGGAGGACAGCGGGGGAGTCCTCCCCTGCGGTCCTCTCAAAGTCCCTGCCGATCAGCTGGGGGAAATGGGGCCTTTGGGAGGACCATGGGGAGGGCTTCCCCCCATCATCCTGAAGCCGACATGTTCACCCAGCTGATTGGC